GGTGTTGCATACATTCAATCAGAGACCATATACCAAAGTGGTCTCTGCTTCAATATGAAATAATCTAGACAGAACAGAACTTGACATTTTACGAAGGCTTCAATTTGCTGCCACCAACAAATCATCAGGTATAAGCTTAATACACCTACTAGCACATAACAACAGTTTTATTTCATATTACCAAAACAATAACAATAATAACTAACAATACAATAAATAATAATAATCATGATAATAGTAATAATGTTTAATAATATAATATAACTAGAAAAATGTTCTGAAGCCAAATGTTTTGAGTCTTGTAGGGTGGAACTGAAAGATTGTTTTCACATGGTGTTGACAAATTTGTGCATATCGTGAACGACACACACCGTCACTGTCAGTAACAACGTCCCCCTTCACTGTCTGAACAGTCAGACCGCTGACCACCATGGGATTCCAGCAGATCCAGCACTCGCTGATTTCCCCGGAATCTTGCCCAGTCCGCCGCTGTTTGCCCCTTGTTGTTCCTGGACTTATGTCCTCCATGTTTCCGAAGACCCATTGTATTATCTCTTGTGAACGACACACACCGTCACTGTCTGTAACAACGTCCCCCTACACTGTCTGAACAGTCACGACCGCTGACCACCATGGGATTCCAGCAGATCCAGCACTCGCTGATTTCCACTGAATCTTGCCCAGTCTGCCGCTGTTTGCCCCTTGTTGTTCCTGGACTTATGTCCTCCATGTTTCCGAAGACCCATTGTATTATCTCTTGTGAACGACACACACCGTCACTGTCTGTAACAACGTGCCCCTACACTGTCTGACCAGTCACGACCGCTGACCACCATGGGATTTCAGCAGATCCACCACTCGCTGATTTCCCCAGAATCTTGCCAAGTCGGCCGCCGTTTGCCCCTTGTTGTTCCTGGACTTATGGCTCCTTTTGGGAATCATAATAATAGTAATAATGTTCAATGATATATTATAACTAGAAAAATGTTCTGAAGCCAAATGTTTTGAGTCTTGTAGGGTGGAACTGAAAGATTGTTTTCACATGGCCTTGACAAATTTGTGCATATCGTGAACGACACACACCGTCACTGTCTGTAACAACATCCCCCTACACTGTCTGAACAGTCACGACCGCTGGCCACCATGGGATTCCAGCAGATCCACCACTCGCTGATTTCCCCGGAATCTTGTCAGTCGGCCGCTGTTTGCCCCTTGTTGTTCCTGGACTTATGGCTCCTTTTGGGAATCATAATAATAGTAATAATGTTCAATGATATATTATAACTAGAAAAATGTTCTGAAGCCAAATGTTGTGAGTCTTGTAGGGTGGAACTGAAAGATTGTTTTCACATGGCCTTGACAAATTTGTGCATATCGTGAACGACACACACCGTCACTGTCTGTAACAACATCCCCCTACACTGTCTGACCAGTCACGACCACTGACCACCATGGGATTTCAGCAGATCCACCACTCGCTGATTTCCCCAGAATCTTGCCAAGTCGGCCGCCGTTTGCCCCTTGTTGTTCCTGGACTTATGGCTCCTTTTGGGAATCATAATAATAGTAATAATGTTCAATGATATATTATAACTAGAAAAATGTTCTGAAGCCAAATGTTTTGAGTCTTGTAGGGTGGAACTGAAAGATTGTTTTCACATGGCCTTGACAAATTTGTGCATATCGTGAACGACAAACACCGTCACTGTCTGTAACAACATCCCCCTACACTGTCTGACCAGTCACGACCGCTGACCACCATGGAATTTCAGCAGATCCACCACTCGCTGATTTCCCCAGAATCTTGCCCAGTCGGCCGCCATTTGCCCCTTGTTGTTCCTGGACTTATGGCTCCTTTTGGGAATCATAATAATAGTAATAATGTTCAATGATATATTATAACGAGAAAAATGTTCTGAAGCCAAATGTTTTGAGTCTTGTAGGGTGGAACTGAAAGATTGTTTTCACATGGCCTTGACAAATTTGTGCATATCGTGAACGACACACACCGTCACTGTCTGTAACAACGTGCCCCTACACTGTCTGACCAGTCACGACCGCTGACCACCATGGGATTTCAGCAGATCCACCACTCGCTGATTTCCCCAGAATCTTGCCAAGTCGGCCGCCGTTTGCCCCTTGTTGTTCCTGGACTTACGGCTCCTTTTGGGAATCATAATAATAGTAATAATGTTCAATGATATATTATAACTAGAAAAATGTTCTGAAGCCAAATGTTTTGAGTCTTGTAGGGTGGAACTGAAAGATTGTTTTCACATGGCCTTGACAAATTTGTGCATATCGTGAACGACACACACCGTCACTGTCTGTAACAACGTGCCCCTACACTGTCTGACCAGTCACGACCGCTGACCACCATGGGATTTCAGCAGATCCACCACTCGCTGATTTCCCCAGAATCTTGCCAAGTCGGCCGCCGTTTGCCCCTTGTTGTTCCTGGACTTATGGCTCCTTTTGGGAATCATAATAATAGTAATAATGTTCAATGATATATTATAACTAGAAAAATGTTCTGAAGCCAAATGTTTTGAGTCTTGTAGGGTGGAACTGAAAGATTGTTTTCACATGGCCTTGACAAATTTGTGCATATCGTGAACGACACACACCGTCACTGTCTGTAACAACGTGCCCCTACACTGTCTGACCAGTCACGACCGCTGACCACCATGGGATTTCAGCAGATCCACCACTCGCTGATTTCCCCAGAATCTTGCCAAGTCGGCCGCCGTTTGCCCCTTGTTGTTCCTGGACTTATGGCTCCTTATGGGAATCATAATAATAGTAAAAATGTTCAATGATATATTATAACTAGAAAAATGTTCTGAAGCCAAATGTTTTGAGTCTTGTAGGGTGGAACTGAAAGATTGTTATCACATGGCCTTGACAAATTTGTGCATATCGTGAACGACACACACCGTCACTGTCTGTAACAACGTGCCCCTACACTGTCTGACCAGTCACGACCACTGACCACCATGGGATTCCAGCAGATCCACCACTCGCTGATTTCCACTGAATCTTGCCCAGTCGGCTGCCGTTTGCCCCTTGTTGTTCCTGGACTTATGGCTCCTTATGGGAATCATAATAATAGTAATAATGTTCAATGATATATTATAACTAGAAAAATGTTCTGAAGCCAAATGTTTTGAGTCTTGTAGGGTGGAACTGAAAGATTGTTTTCACATGGCCTTGACAAATTTGTGCATATCGTGAACGACACACACCGTCACTGTCTGTAACAACGTCCCCCTACACTGTCTGACCAGTCACAACCGCTGACCACCATGGGATTCCAGCAGATCCACCACTCGCTGATTTCCACTGAATCTTGCCCAGTCGGCCGCCGTTTGCCCCTTGTTGTTCCAGGACTTATGTCCTCCATGTTCTGAAGACCCATTGTATCATCTCTTGTGTTTTATATTAACCTTTGTGGCTCCATTTGGGAATCAACTCATAACACAATCAATTATTTGTAAACATATTCAAGAATTGATTGTCTGCTGTAGATATGACTGATATATAACATGGTTGTTAGAACAAAGGGAGCTACCTCAAACATTAAGCTAAGAAATGTTGACCACTTCATCATTTACTCATATTAAGAGTTGAAACCTTTAACATAATAAGCTTCATTCAAATATGTCAGTCATATCTACAGTTGACTATCAATTCCCGAACATATTTACTGTTAATAGATACTGTTCAGAGTTGATTCCCAAATTGAACCATGAAGGTTAATTTACAATCAAAAAAGATAATACAATGGGACAAATATGTGGCAGCACTACTGAATAATAGGCCCTATTGCAATAGACAGTACACTCCGGTCCACTGGTCAAGTCGTAGGAGGCCTGGAATCGCCCTCGTCTTCCTCTTATATAGGTACAGCCTGCCTTCTAGAACCTGTTTCTTCGTGTAACTTCTTGAACAATGTGGCCAATCCCAGTGTCAGTACAGAAGGTGGCTAACTTTCAAGTACTCTGGGTGTTGCATACATTCAATCAGAGACCATATACCAAAGTGGTCTCTGCTTCAATAAAAAATAATCTAGAAACAACATTTTACGAATGCTTCAATTTGCTGCCACTAACAAATCATGAGATATAAACTTAATACACCTACTGGCATATAACAACAGTTTTATTTCATATTAGGCCAGGCAATTTTACAGAATTTTCAGCCCCAAGTACAGGGTTGGAGGAGGGGGGAGGGGGAAGAAAAGAAAGCCAGATGCATCTTTTTTTTGTGTGGGGAGATAACGGATTTTTACAACCAAAGATGTAGGACAGGAGGGGGGAAATTTTTTTAAAAAAGACTGATGACTTCATGAAAGGTTATTTTGTGTTTTGCAGCACAGTCTCTCCTCAGCACAAACTTCAAAAACTGAATGTCCAAATGATCATAGAGACAACAGCATATTGAACATAATATTGCTGCAAGTTTTGCCGCATTAGAGTGATTCACTTAAAATACTATGAAGAGTGTAACAAAATTAAAACAAGCATTAATATTAAAACTCCACCTGTTTTTACCTGATATCACCAAACTGATAAGTGATTAATGTGTCTAAGCCACTGTCTTGAAGAAACTTGAAAGTAGCACCACTGAGATATTCACTCTTCCAAAAGAACACATACCGTATTCGACGTAATAAGCGCCCCGCTCTAATAAACGCCCACGGCGATATTTGCTGATATATTGGCTAGTAAACAATCCTAATTAGCACCCCTTCCGATTGATCAATGTACACAAGACTTTTTTATTCGCGCATATGCACACTCGTGTGTTATATGCACCTTTAATTAAGGGCAATTAAATTCTGGAAAAATATATCTGTCGTACATAAACATTTCAGGCTGTCACCATAAACCACGAAATTTATCTTTCCACTTTTTTTTTTCCACCAAAATAATATTCTAATAAGAGCCCCCTATTTCTAATTTTGAGAGCGCCCTGGGCGCTTATTACGTCGAATATGGTAACAATCAAAATAATACTGCAAATAAATATATTTGTCACAGTTCATGTCAATTCTAACACTGCTTTGAAAATGACATAAAAAATAAATATCACATAGTAGCTTGGCCACTTTTCTGTCAGAAGAACTTGAAAGTAGCACCACTGAGATATTCACCATCTTCCAAAAAACACATAATCAAAATAATACTGAAAATAAAGATGTCACTGTTCATGTCAATTCTAACACTGCTTTGCAAAGTATAATTTAAAATATACATCAGAGACTCATTATGAACCATTTGATCAAGAAAATAATTACTGGGATGAGATCCACTCGGGTAAAAAAGATCAGCAAACAATATGCATCCATCTGCTTTGATAAATCAGTACTGATAAGAAGTTACTATCCGAGCAATTGTCATAACTTTCACTTTCATTTTGACGTGAATGTATCTGATTCCCAAGCTCCAACAACATAAGAAAAGTTGTTGTACTAAGTTCAATCGACATGTCATCTTTCGAAGTTTCCTGAGTTGATGCATGTGCCGACATTACTTGCTCCTGTTTAACTACTAAGATTAAACCTCCCTAACGCAGTTGTTCGTATCCTGAATGTTAATTAGATGTTTTCGAATGTTTGCAAGGGAATGCAGGCAAATGCAGAATGCCTCTGGCATACTTTATGAACATATTCTGTGCTCAAAAGACCGCCATTTGTGATGATAAAGCCCCTTGTAACAATAAAAATTCTACCACTTACAACACAGACAATTGTCAAGAGAGGGTATTCATGTTCGGCTTCGAGATCAACAAAGATCGATTATGTATCTTTTTACTAGTTTACAACGGTAAAATCATATGTTTTTTATTAAAAGGTGATGATAACAAATAAAATAACTGACTACGTGGCTATTGACGGGGGGAAAAAATGGAAATCTGATTTAATTTTATTTTTACATTTTCTCAAAAATTAGTCGGAAAATATAAAATGCCTGGCCTTATCATAACCTATAACAATAATAACTAACAATACTATAATAATACTGATAATGTACAATGATATAACAAGAAAAGTATTCTGTGGACGTATGTTTTGAGTCTTGTAGGGTGGAACTGAAAGATTGTTTTCTCTTGGAGTTGACAAACTGGTGCATATCATGAAAGACACACATTGTCACTGTTAACGTCTTCCTTTACTGTCTGAACAGTTACTACCGCTGACCACCATGTGATACCAGCAGATCCACCACTCGCTGATTTCCCCTGAGTCTTGCCCAGTCGGCCGCTGTTTGCCCCTAGTTGTTCCTGGACTTATTTCCTTTGTGAGTATCAACTCATGACACAATCAATTATTAGTAAACAGAATTGATTGTCTACTGTAAATATGAGTGATATGACATGGTTGCCAGGAGTTCCACCACTCGTGGATTTCCCCTGGATCTTGCCCAGTCGGCCGCCTTTTGCCCCTCGTTGTTCCTGGACTTATGTCCTTCGTGGGTATCAACTCATGACACAATCAATTATTAGTAAACAGAATTGATTGTCTACTGTAAATATGAGTCATATGACATGGTTGCCAGGAGTTCCACCACTCGTGGATTTCCCCTGGATCTTGCCCAGTCGGCCGCCTTTTGCCCCTCGTTGTTCCTGGACTTATGTCCTTCGTGGGTATCAACTCATGACACAATCAATTATTTGTAAACAGAATTGATTGTCTACTGTAAATATGAGTGATATGACATGGTTGCCAGGAGTTCCACCACTCGTGGATTTCCCCTGAGTCTTGCCCAGTCGGCCAATCAATTATTAGTAAACAGATTTGATTGTCTACTGTAAATATGAGTGATATGACATGGTTGCCAGGAGTTCCGGCACTCGCTGATTTCCCCTGAGTCTTGCCCAGTCCGCCGCTGTTTTCCCCTCGTTGTTCCTTGACTTATTTCCTTTGTGGGTATCAACTCATGACACAATCAATTATTAGTAAACAGAATTGATTGTCTACTGTAAATATGAGTGACATGACATGGTTGCCAGGAGTTCCACCACTCGCTGATTTCCCCTGGATCTTGCCCAGTCGGCCAATCAATTATTAGTAAACAGATTTGATTGTCTACTGTAAATATGAGTGATATGACATGGTTGCCAGGAGTTCCACCACTCGTGGATTTCCCCTGAGTCTTGCCCAGTCGGCCGCCTTTTGCCCCTTGTTGTTCCTGGACTTATGTCCTTCGTGAGTATCAACTCATGACACAATCAATTATTAGTAAACAGAATTGATTGTCTACTGTAAATATGATTGATATGACATGGTTGCCAGGAGTTCCACCACTCGTGGATTTCCCCTGAGTCTTGCCCAGTCGGCCGCCTTTTGCCCCTTGTTGTTCCTGGACTTATGTCCTTCGTGAGTATCAACTCATGACACAATCAATTATTAGTAAACAGAATTGATTGTCTACTGTAAATATGAGTGATATGACATGGTTGCCAGGAGTTCCACCACTCGTGGATTTCCCCTGAGTCTTGCCCAGTCGGCCGCCTTTTGCCCCTTGTTGTTCCTGGACTTATGTCCTTCGTGAGTATCAACTCATGACACAATCAATTATTAGTAAACAGAATTGATTGTCTACTGTAAATATGATTGATATGACATGGTTGCCAGGAGTTCCACCACTCGTGGATTTCCCCTGGATCTTGCCCAGTCGGCCGCCTTTTGCCCCTCGTTGTTCCTGGACTTATGTCCTTCGTGGGTATCAACTCATGACACAATCAATTATTAGTAAACAGAATTGATTGTCTACTGTAAATATGAGTGATATGACACGGATGCCAGGAGCTCCGGCACTCGCTGATTTCCCCTGAGTCTTGCCCAGTCCGCCGCTGTTTTCCCCTCGTTGTTCCTTGACTTATTTCCTTTGTGGGTATCAACTCATGACACAATCAATTATTAGTAAACAGAATTGATTGTCTACTGTAAATATGATTGATATGACATGGTTGCCAGGAGTTCCACCACTCGCTGATTTCCCCTGGGTCTTGTCCAGTCGGCCGCTGTTTTCCCCTCGTTGTTCCTGGACCTGACTTCACTATCTCCACATGTCCTCCTACACAGGCCTAGGGAAGGGTCACAGGTCACCGTCGTCGTTTTCTTACCATGTTTCTCTACATCCAGTTCTTTGTCCCTGGTAAGTATAGATTCTTCATGGTCCATAGTGACAAACAAACTGATAAAAAAAAGCTTCTACCACTGTTGCAGCCGTGTGATAGGAATATAGATCAGGATTTCGAAAGTCACGTGGTGCATCAAACAGTTGCCACATTATTTCTCTTCTATGGATTTTTTGCTTTTCCTGAGTTCATGTTTCTCCCAAGTCTGACCGCTGACCACCATGTGATTCCAGCAGATCCACCACTCGCTGATTTCCCCTGAATCTTGCCCAGTCTTGCCGCTGTTTGCCACTGCTTATTCCTGGACTTGATGTCCTTAATTCCGTATGAAGACAAACTTTACCTTCTCCAAGTGTCCTCCTATACAGACGTAGTGAATTGTCACAGGTCACCGTCGTCGGTTCTCCCAATGTTTCTCTACATCCAGTGCTTTGTCCCTGGTCAGTATGTATTCTTCTTGGCCCATAGTGACAAACAAACTGATAAAAAAAAAGAAACTTCTGCCGCTGTTGCTCTTGTATGGATTTTTTGCTGTTCCTGAGTTCATGTTTCTTCCAAGTCTGTCACACAATCTCATTCAAATAATTTTTTAGTTCTGGCTCCCGCTAAACAAAGGTCTGAGCGCATCCCATTATGGGTCACGTCAGAATGACCTTTTTTCCAACCAATCAGGAAAGTGAGAGTTGGAATGTGTTTTCTAATCACTCAACATTGACAAGGTTAACATTGGATGTTCCAAGTCCTGCCTGAATCATCGTCTGTCTCTCGCTTCAGTGAGATAAACATTTGAAACAGAAAAGACTTTCCATAACCCGTGGAAAGTACTGTGGGTACAATCGCGGACAGTTATTAGACATTTTCAGAATTATCTTTGATCACTTTTTAAATTTTGACAAATATTTTTCAAAGCATAATCTGGGATGGAAGTGACGTAAAGCTCGAGAAAGCAGCTTTTGATTGGCACACACCCCATCACTGTCAGTAACAACGTCCTCCTTTAATGTCTGAACAGATTCTACAGCTGACCACCATGGGATTCCAGCAGATCCGCCAGTTGCTGATTTCCACTGAATCTTGCCCGGTCGGCCGCTGTTTGTTCCTGAACTTGATGTCCACAATTCTGTATGAAGACAAACTTTACCTTCTCCAAGTCTCCGCCCATACAGACGTAGTGAATTGTCACAGGTCACCGTCGTCGGTTCTCCCAATGTTTCTCTACATCCAGTGCTTTGTCCCTGGCCAGTATGTATTCTTCTTGGCCCATAGTGACAAACAAACTGATAAAAAAAAAAGAAACTTCTGCCTCTGTTGCTCTTGTATGGACTTTTTGCTGTCCATACAATACTGATAAAAAAAAAGCAGCAAAAAAACAACCTTCTGCCACTGTTGCAATCATGTGATCAGGAATACGGATCTGGGAGCTGTTGTACAAAGCGATCTTAGCCCCACGGTGATCGTAACTTCCATACCTTAACATAGACTTACAACAGTCGTAGTGCTAAGGTTTTGTACAACTGCACCCAGGAATTCAAAAGTCAAGTGGTGCATCAAACTGGACTTGCGAACAGTTGCCACATTATTGCTCTTTTATGGATTTTGCTTTTCCTGAGTTTTCGTTTCTCCCAAGTGTGCCCCCTGTCACACAATATCATTGTATTACATTTTTAATTCCTGTTTCAGCTAATCAAAGGTCTGAGAACATCCCATATGGGTCATGTCAGAATGACCCTATAATCCAACCAACCTGGAAAGTGACAGTTGAAATGTGTTTTCTAATCATGCAACATTGACAGGGTTAACACTGGGTATTCCAAATGACAGTTAAAGGCTGTACAACTGATTCCACCTTAATCATCATCTACCTCTCGCTTCAATGGGATAATCCTCCCACATTAAGCTGACACACTGCAATATGACTCGAATACTATTAAAAGTGGCGTTAAACCAAACTCACTCACTCAATAGGATAAACAATAGAAACAGAAGAGACTTTTCCTTGCCTGTAGAAAGTACTGACATACATTTATTGGACATTCCAGAGATTTCTTTTGATCACTTTTCTCGAGAAAGTTGCTTTTGATTGGCTAATGTAGACTTCTTGTTAGTCATTTCATTGATTTCTGACCCTGTCCCTATCAATAACACCCTCCTTCTTTAATGTCTGAACAGACACTATCGCTGACTACCATGGGATTCCAGCAGATCCACCACTCGCTGATTTCCACTGAATCTTGCCCAGTCGGCCGCTGTTTGCCCCTTGTTGTTCCTGGACTTGATGTCCTTAATCCCGTATGAAGACAAACTTTACCTTCTCCACATCTCCTCCCAAACAGACGTAGTGAATTGTCACAGGTCACTGTCGTCGGTTCTCCCAATGTTTCTCTACATCCAGTGCTTTGTCCCTGGTCAGTATGTATTCTTCTTGGCCCATAGTGACAAACAGACTGATAAAAAAATAGAAGCTTCTGCCACTGTTGCAATTTTTGCCACACTGTTGCCCTTGTATGGATTTTTTGCTTTTCCTGAGTTCATGTTTCACCCAAGTCTGTCACACAATCTCATTCAAATCAATTTTTACTTCTGGCTACCGCTAATGAAAGGCCAGAACACATCCCATTATGGGTCACGTCAGAATGACCTTTAATCGACCAGTCGGGAAAGTGTCAGTTGCAATTATAAAAATTTTACAAAATATGGAAGTGCCATAAAGCTAGGGAAAGCTGCTTTTGAATGGCTAATGTAGACTTCTTATTAGTCATTTCATTGGTTGGTCATAGTTTTAGGAAGGTCATTCTTGCATGTGACCTGTGAAGATCCGGGGTAGAATAGGTCTTCAGCAACCCATGCTTGCCATAAAAGGTGACTATGCTTGTCGTAAGAGGCGACTAATGGGATTGGGTGGCCAGGCTCACTGACTTGGTTGATGCATGTCATCGTATCCCAATTGTATGGATCGATGCTCATGTTGTCAATTACTGGATTGTCTGGTCCAGACTCGATTATTTACAGACTACCGTCATATTGCTAAGTACGGCATTAAACAACAAGCAAATAAACAAAAAAGGGCTCAGTGATGCTGACCTTCCGTAATGAAAATATCATGAGAATCTGTTTGCGGCATTTAACAACAAGCAAACAAAGAACATTCTGGCATGTCTCAGATCCTTGTGTAATCATTACACTGTAATGATAGCGAGCACTAAGATCTGATTTAAATGATTGCCTGACACAGTGCTGTGAACAGACTTGAACAGAGTAGGTCTCTACTCCACCATGGATCCAGGCACTTCCAATAATCTTTGATCCAGCTTCTCAGAATACAGAGAACATCATTCTCTATCTGAAGAATTGTCATTTTTCCACAAAGATCATGGTGATTCAGTTCACCAATCCAACTATTTTTCTAACTAATTTCTGCTTTGTCGAAATGTATATTTGTTGACGTGAACATTTTTCTCCATGTGGATAGCTGATTCTTAGGATTTGCTCATAACAACGAACAAAGGGGGATAATTTATGCATTAATTTATTAAAGGTGAACCGCTACAAAGGGTTACCTGTACCTGTCCTAGGTGTTATGATGAAGTGATCGGAAACACCTGGGTTTTGAGAACAGCAGGGGAGAAGCTTTAAGGATTTCGGGGAGGGGATGTTCTAATAAAATAATCCAAGTTCCAGGTTTAGTGAAAAAACATGCATATGCCTCGCATTGTAGAAAAAAGACATAATGTGCCTTTTCCATTCCAACTCTCCCCAACAGTGGAATAGTGTGATCCTATGTACATCCACAGCATGAGCCAACAATATAGTGCGTGTGTTTCTATGTACTCTTGAATGTATAGGTGAAGTGTGTGTGTTGTGATGCATCAGTCAGATCCATGGTGAAATTGTTTCAATCTCATTAAAATCAGATCCTAGTTCTCGCTGCCGCTAAACAAAGATCTGAGGACATCCCATTACGGGTCACGTCAGAACGACCTTTCATCCAACCAATCAGAGCGTCGCTTACCAAATCATGAAAGTGACAGTCGAAATGTGTTTTCTAATCATGCAACTTCGAAACGACAGTTACGACCGATTCGTCAAAATTATTGTCTAAAAATCATTCCGACTGTCACTTTCATGACTCTCTGACTGGTCGGATGAAAGGTCGTTCTGACGTGACCCATAATAGGATGTCCTCAGATCTTTGTTAAGCCATAGCGAGAACTAGGATCTGATTTTAATGAGATTGAAATTGTTTGGACATGTTTATCTCATCAGTATTGTATCTCCTCACATGTGTCCAGTGTGGGAGGAAAGTTGAGCTTCTTGTACCATGTTATCACCTTGAGGTGCCGACACCTGCACGGGCTCCTCGACTACACCCAGGGTCAACTGAACGTTACTTCTGTTACTGAATGATGTGTGGAAGTATTTCTGACCTTTTCTTATGTGATAAGCTTGTGCTTCCTACAGAATGTTTTGGAGGAAATAAATCAATGTATTTGTTATGTGTCTGTTTTCTTGACTAATTAGAGGACACAGTCATCCTGACCCATTTAGATCCGGGGTAGAATAGGTCTTCAGCAACGCATGCTTGCTGTAATAGTGAGTGAGTATGGTTTTACGCCGCTTTTAGCAATATTCCAGCAATATCACGGCGGGGGACACCAGAAATGGGCTTCACACATTGTACCCATGTCGGGAATCGAACCCGGGTCTTTGGCGTGATAAGCGAAGGCTTTAACCACTAGGCTACCCGACCGCCCTGCTTGCTGTAATAAGCGACCATGCTTGTCATAAGAGGCGACTAACAGGATCGGGTGGTCAAGCTCGCTGACTTGGTTGATGCATGTCATTGTATCCCAATTGCGTGGATCGATGCTCATGGTGTCGATTATTTACAGACCGACGATTGTCCAGACTCGGGTTTAACTGTGTGTTTGTTGTTTAACGCAGCACTGCAATATTCCAGCTATATGACGGCGGTCTGTAAATGATCGAGTCTGGACCAGACAATCCAGTGATTGACATCATGAGCATCGATCCACGCAATTGGGACCCTTGACATGCATCAACCGAGTCAGCAGGTTTAACAAAAAACAAACAAAAGAGGACTCAATGATGCTGACCATCACAGAGGAACAAAATGTCTTCCATAGTGGAAATCATGAGAATCTGTTTTCAGGTGTTGTGCCATCTGTGAATCCAAGGCAAAATCCTTGATTCGTATGTAAACATGGTGTAATGCCATTGGTGCACAGCCCATCCCTAGCCCACCCCAATCTTTGCCGCCTGTGATAAGCTGTGAGAATGAGGATGACTTCACACCCTGTTACACTGACAAGGCAAAGATCCGGGGTAGAATGGGTCTTCAGCAACCCATGCTTGCCGTAATAAGAGGCAACTAAGAGGATCAGGTGGTCATGCTCGCTGACTTGGTTGATGCCTTTCATCGTATCCCAATTGCATGGATCGATGCTCATGTCAGGTACTGGATTGTCTGGTCCAGACACAATTATTTACAGACCACCATTATATAGCTGGAATATTGCTGAGTGCAGCGTTCAACAAGATGACAAGGCGAAGATGTCATCAGTAGGATGAATCCACACCCTGCTACACACACATACACAATGGTAAGGCAGAATTTATTGCTATATGTCTTGGTACAAAAGACAAGAAAACCAGCACAAACAGTCACAAATGTAAGACAAAACAACTTGTCTGCCTCAGTATCACAGCTATAGAGGGAAAGTCACACAGCAGCTTTGTTAAAACATGGAAGACAACAGTTTAAATCATTTTAACAGGAGAAATGCTAAGATTAGCCCATTTTCTTACATATTGGATAATCTCGGGTGTAAAAGCATGTATAAACATAAGCATAATAGTGTTAATCATTTGAAATATGGAAGCTATCCACGGTAAACTCTGGACGTAACGGGCTGATACAGCGAAAAGTCAACTACAGCAAAAACGAACTCATATTCCCCTGGTCATGCTGCAGTCTTGATTAGTGTAAGGGCATCACAAAATACTTTGAAGCTATGATTGGTACATCCACAGAAATGAATGCTGTATCTTCATCATGTTTATAGGGGAGGAGTACTATACAATTAGAAATGACACAGGGGATACCGATTATCCCCCTAGGGCCCCGTTCCACAAAACGACCATAGAGCTACGATGATCATAAGCCTATGTTAAAGTATCATCTTAGCGCTAAGATCCCTTTTTGGAATGAGCTTCTGACCTATGGACAGCAAAGGACAATATTTGATAGGAGGTAGTTGTAGAGAAAATAGTCTAAGCAAGAGGCACTATTTCTATGAAACTGCACACAAGACCATTCAAACAACTGTATAGTATCATATAGTAATGTAAATAAACAAACAATAGTCAAATTGCTAAGTAAATGCTGTCAAGAAGGCTGGGACCTTCTATGGTTGATCTTACATCGTAATCCAAAAATGTTGACTTGAAACTCCATGACGTTTTGTGTTGGCAGTTTGTTTAATACTTTTGACGTCTCTGTGTTAAATGTATTTCTGTTTCCTGGCCTAGTTGCTACAGACTAGCATTGGCAATCGATAAGCTGACCTTGACCTTGTCTGTGTGAGCTTGACCTCACATTCCATCGAGTCCCTGTTTCATGAAAAGGAAATATGAAAGCCAATACAGGGTTAATAATTAAGTCTGCTCGTCTGAGATGTTAAATTCAGAGATTGTGGCCTGCCACTTCTACCATTAGGTAGAGGGCAACTTAGTAGCAGATAACTTTTGAGGACTAGTGAAAATGAAACTTAATTTCTAACCCTGTTATATGGCCTTGACCTCACACACCCTTAAGGTCGCCCATATTAAGGACATACTCTGCTCCTTTTACATTTGGGAAGTGTTGGCGCCGACTCATCTGTTTCATGGTGTGGACGACCATCTCTCGCGGAAACGTATCCAGCATCCAGTCACTGACTCCAGACAGCGGCCGTGACTTCGCGGATAGGGATAGCGGGACACTAAGACTCCTCTTAACCAGGTGTGACCTCAGGTCATGTGACATATGCAGTGGCATTTCACTCTTTGGTTTGACATCATCCTCATATTTTTTTTTCGTGTGAATGTCATGAATATGTTTTGGTTTAAACTGGAAAGGACGATCATGAGGAGATAGATTTTTGTTAAGTACTCGATCTACGATTTCTTTTGGGAGATCGGGTTTTCGTAGTTTCTTTTTTTTCAGTTCCTTCATTTGTGGATCAACCTCAGAAATCTCCACATACTTGATGTGCTTCCCCTCATAATACTTGGGCCCACTGCCAGTTTCAGGCATCATTGTGTACTCGTTTCGCGGATACTCATCCTTCAAGTTCGGAACATAATCCTTCTCCGACAACTTTGCTGAGAAAATCCACTGATTTGGGTTAATGTATCCTGGACTTTTGGAGCGTGACCTTGACCTTGAGATAGACCTGGACATTGTTTGCTCCCTCACTCCACTGAAGTCATCCATCTTAGACATGCTGTCATCAAACTGCACCTGGTCCTCGGTCGTCTCATCTGTGAACAGACTGGTGTCCGTGTCTGCGCGTTTGTCCAGTGAGGATGGTGTCTTATTAACCATTGATACCTTCATCTTGCCTGTCTGTCTCTGCAGTGTCTGACTGTTGGGGCGGTAGAGTCCATGCTGAGGTGGTCTCTGAGAATCTGGCCCCGTAGGCTTCTCCTCCAGGTGCCTTGACCCCAGCCACTGCCGGAAAGCCTGATCTCCATAGAACTCCTGGGCGGCCTTGACCTCTTCCTCCTCCTCCAGTTCCTGCAGGATCTGCTGCATGCGGACTTTCTTCAGCTGGCTCATCTCCCGTGCCACATGGTCCTTGTCCTGGTGCCACACCTCCGCTGCCAGAATCCTGAAACAAACAGCAGGTAACATGATGAGGAAGGCACAGAGTTCAATACAAAAAGTCCATCCTAACCCCAACTAAACATAACTACACTTTGGACACCGCCTCCGTGGTCTCGTGGATAGAGCCTCTTCCTGGAGAGTGGAAGGTCGGTGGTTCAATCACTGGGTGCGTCATACCAAAAGTTGTTAAAAGATGGTACTTGTTGTTACCCTGCCTTGTGCTCAGCATTAAATTCACTGAGTCTGACCAGCTGATCAATTACATCACTTCTTACAACCGACCCGTGAAGATTCCGGGATAGAATAGGTCTTCAGCAACCCATACTTGCCGTAAAAGGCGACTATGCTTGTCATAAAAGGCAACTAACGGGATGGGGTGGTGAGGCTCGCTGACTTGGTTGATGCATGTCATCGATTCCAATTGCATAGATGTAACGATGCTCATGATGTCAATCACTGGATTGTCTGGTCCAGACTCGATTATTTTACAGACCGCCGTCATATAGCTGGAATATTGCTGAGAGCGGCGTTAAGCAACAAACAAACAAAACTTCTTACAACCAGCATATGTTGCTTGGGACAAAATCTAACCTGAAATCCCCTTAGGTTCCTAGTTTAGTCGCCTCTTTACATTTTGATTTTGTAAGCTCAGATGATGACATGTTCAGAATAAAGTATTTGGTTAGTGGCAGTGTATGGCGCCAAGAAATATATCACATGTCACAAAATAATCTGGTAGCCCCAGAACCTTTGAAGGTAGACTAACCCGTATTGCTAAGCAATTCGACCCTGACAAGAAGAGTACAGGGGCATGCATCCCTTGAAAATTTCAAAATCTAGACTGCAAATGGTGCAATTTGGAGCAAGTATCAATATTGCTGGGTGCAGCGTTAAACATTTAAACAATAAAGACCTTTTCCAAACATATCTTGTTGAATTTAAGCTGGATAAATGAATAGATGTCACATCGACAAGATGAACAAAGTCTGAAAGATGATAAAATGTGAAAGCAAACTTATCACTTCGTAGTTCTACCTGATCCATCAATTTAATCGTCAGAGACAATCAGTCCAGCTTAGTTTCTCACATCATAGACTGATCAGAATTTTGACAGCCATGGGCCAAAGGTCTAACGTTTGTTTTGCACACGGTAGTCGTCTTTGCACAGATTTCACACTTGACATAAGATGAGACAAAAATTGGGATGGAACTTGTAGTTACACTGCTTGGCACTCAGCATGAAGGGGAAAGAACAAGAACACATCATCCACCAAGTCATTGAGATGAGACAAAAATTGGGATTGGGTTGTTACAATGTGTGACCTGACAACTTCAATGTCACCATCACAGCATGTATATTTGCTCATGCTATCAACCACTAGGTTGTCAGGTCCAGACTAAGTATGTCCCCATGCCTTGGCTTGTCTTCATTTAAATAACAAATCTGACATCCACCTACACTGCCCATGTTGTGCCTGTGTTGGGTCTACCAACTAGTTTTTGCCATACAAGGGACATAACTCTACTTTCCTGTTGACACATCACACATGCAAAAACGTTTGTCACTGGTACTCTGTGTTTATGAAATATCAACAACACACACACTATACTCCCACTGACATTTATATTTTGCTGATTCTGTGCATGACAAATCTAGAGTTGTGTCCCTTGTCCTTGAGACCCGTGAAGATTCGGGGTAGAATAGGTCTTCAGCAACCCATGCTTGCCGTAAAAGGTGACTATGCTTGTCGTAAAAGGCGACTAACGGGATCGGGTGGTCAGGCTCGCTGACTTGGTTGATGCATGTCATCGTATCCCAATTGCGCGGATCGATGCTCATGATATTAATCACTGGACTGTCTGGTCCAGACTCGATTATTTACAGACCGCCATCATATAGCTGGAATATTGCTGGGTGCGGTGTTAAACAACAAACCAACCAACCCTTGTCCTTGATAAACATACTTTGCCTAAATTAACTCCATTAATCTAACAAGAAAAGTTGAAATTTTCCATACTTATAGAATTAACAAATCAATGGTACTTAGGTTGAGGCCAATGTTAATTTCATATGTGTCTTCCCCCCTCAAATTTCGGACTTTAGCAGACAAATTCTGAGATCCAACAAAGAAGGAAAATTGCATTAAGACCCATAAATAAGGTCAAATGTAATCTGTCATAATATAGGCTCACCTTGCACATTTCCTGTGTCCCCAGAGTTTAGCAAGGTCAAGTGGTGTGTTGCCACGGCAATCCTTCCCATCAACCTTTGCTCCCCTCTCAATGAGCAGCTTAAGACATTGTACATGTCCCTCACTGGCCGCCTGGTGGACAGGGCTGATACCATCATCATTGCAGCTGCCATGGAAACAGACAGAGAATTAATTCCTTGTTTTGTCAGTATTCCAGGTTTTACTGGACACTAAATACTGAGTCCCATACAAATTGAGTGAGTGAGTAAGGTTTTACGCCGCTTTAAGCAATATTCCAGCAACATCACGGCGGGGACACCAGAAATGGGCTTCACACATTGTACCCATGTCGGGAATCGAACCAGGGTCTTCGGCGTGACGAGCAAACAATTTAACCACTAGGCTACCCGACCACCCGATACAAATTGAAAATGGATGCAAACAATTCACATAGCGAGTTATTTGGGACACACAAAAAAGTATCATTATGTCTGTTTGAATCATCAAATTCATTAAAATTGTAGAAATCATAACCGACATTTCTCTTCTAGTAAGAAATACACTCAATATTCCACATGTCCGTGAATGATTTTCTTCAATCTAACATTGAAATCGCAATAGTGATGCACTTGGTTTCATTGAAGAGGGTAATAATATATCATGTAATTTGAGCAAACAAGTGTAATGTCTGGTATATAAGTGGCAAAATAATTATTATCTAAACATTTCAAAAGTTTCCCCATGGTCATATAGAGGATGTGTGACAGCAATAAGCATCACATCTATCATACAGAGGTCCTCAGCAACCTATGCCAGTTGTAAGTGGTGACTTTATGGGTTGGATGGTCAAACTCTGTGACTCAGCTGCTTGCACGTCATCGCACCCCGACAGCATGAATCGTTACTCATATCAGTCAGTGGTTGTTTTTTGGTTGGTTTGTTGTTTTACGCCGCACTCTGCAATATTCCAGCTATATGACGGCGGTCTGTAAATAATCGAGTCTGGACCAGACAATCCAGTGATTAATATCATGAGCATCGATCTGCGCGCTTGTTGTTTAATGCCGTACTTAGCAATATTATAGCTATATGATGGTAGTCTGTAAATAATCAAGTCTGGATTGACAATATGAGCATCGATCCATACAATTGGGATACAATGACATGCATCAACCAAGTCAATGAGCCTGACCACCAGATCCCGTTAGTCGCCTTTTACGACAAGCATAGTCACCTTTTACTGCAAGCATGGGTTGCTGAAGACCTATTCTACCCCGGAATTTTCACGGGTTCAGTCAATGGAATTTCTGATACAATTATTTATAGGCCACTGTCATGTAGCTGGGTGCTGCATTTAACAACAAACAAACAAACAAACAAACAAACAAGCCGTACATACATGGAGGAGTCAGCTCCCTTGTCAAGCAGGTACGTGAGGCAGATCAAGGAGCGCTTCCCTGTCTGATTGCTGATGGCCAGGTGGACTGCTCGCCATCCAGTTGTGCTCGGTAGGTTCAGGTCGAACTTGAACTTGTCAATGCAGAGCTTCAGACAGTCCAGGCGACCATGAATCGCAGCAAGATGGAGAGCTGTGAGACCCTGTAACACAACATTACGTGCAATTTGTGATCCGAGCAGGCTTGTTTGGTCATGTTTGAACAAATGTCCATCAATGCTAACAGCAGACTTGTTAATTTCAACATTTCTTTTAAAACACAGATTATGAGTAATATGTAGAATATTTTTCCCTGATTTAGGATTACAGATTTTTTTATCCCTTAGGAATTTCATTTTGAAGATACTGAACAAGGCTTGTAACACAATTTATATAATTGTGACAGATAATCAAATATTCTGTTAATCAAACTCGTAAATGATTCTCTTAGTAATGTCTACATGTCTGGAAGAAGTATTCTCTTAGTAATGTCTTTTATTCATTTCATGGTCAACAGTTGAAAGAGGTTGAGATATGTACATGAATGATTTATAACAAGGTTATGCTCATAATAAATACTCTCTTTAATGCTAAAAAACAACTAAGTTTAAGCTATTTTCTGCCCTTTCCAAAATGAACAATGTAGTGTATTCTCCTTATAGTTGTTTACATCTTGTGTGATACAGTTTCCCGCAATATCCAAGTACACATTATATTGTTACGTCATATGATGACATCATGTAGGGATGCGATGTCTGAGTAAACTATGATGGCTTCCTTCCATGTTCTGTTGTGTTTGGCATGCACACGAGTGCGCATACTCCCAGGCATAAATGTGTGAATACATGACAAAGACATGACTCTTTGTAGAAAGTTACACATAGGGTCATGATGACCTCTTGTCTTGCAAAAGTTTATGGATACTGACATCCTAAAAATATAAAATTTGGCCATCACGAGTGTGATATATTCGATTTTCTAATAAATACTGATTTGTATGATATCATGAATAACTGTTTTTCGCCATATTATCTGCTCAAAAAGCTTTACTGGCTAGCGACCAGTTATCGCCAAGGACCATTTATCGCTAACTCCTTGTGATAACGCGAACATGATCGCATCTCGTTTTACCTTTTCTCGTTTTCATTAGAAGAGAGAAATGCTTAGATCTATGCAAAGATGGTGACCAAAACTGACTCTTGTGGTGAAATATTGAAAGAAACACCACATAATACTTTGCTCAAATACAACTTCAGAAAAGACATGTGAGCAGTGTCACATGACTAATGTCATTTCTTCCCCAAAAGACCTGATAGTTATTTTTCCAAAAATGCATTCCGTTACCTGTATACATCGCGAAATCCTTAGTACAGAGTGTTATGGATAAGCATGTGTAAATAGAATTGTGGGGAATATTGGTTTATGTCAGTTTGCAGACAACAAATTGATAAAAAAAACACATTCCTTATTAAAATTAATGAATATAAACAAAGAGAGCAATACCAGAGAGAATACAAAATGTAATTTGTATAACTGAAGTGGTGTATGTAATCACATAGCACATGCTTTTTAGACCGTGTCCACTGTTTTGAGTCCCTATCGTCGCGTTATAACAGAAATCGACTGAAACTTCTTCCAGACAGAAATACCCCTAGATCTATTAAAAGATTTCTATTTTCTCCAAAAATCAAAGTTATTGGCACAATTTTGTTTTTCAGAAATATTTCGTCTTTGCAGTAGTTCAGTTTGAAACAAAACAAACATCTGCATGCTATACCAAACCTTTAGACATTATTCAGATGAATAAAAATTTGAGAATTTGCCACAAAGATGGACGCCCTCGCTGTAACCTAGCAACGATGTCAACTTCCTATCATGGCGTCTGTCGCATCCTGAAACTTTCCAAAACAAATCTTACATTCTTATCGTAATTGATATGTCCACCAATCTCTCTGAGACTTTGTTTCAACCATTCCACATCTCCAATCGCTGCGGCCATGTATTCATCGTCGGCAATCTTCTTCTCGCTGGCGATGCGGGTGCGTCTTCTCCGGAGAGCTGGTGCTCCTTTAGCCGATCCCGACCCTGCTGTTTGAGACCCAGCAGTGATCGTTTTTGACGTTCCTCCGCCCTCAGAACTCGCCATATTGTCATCAAGTAGTATACCTATCTACATTATTTAATCGCGGCTAATGGCCCCCAAAATAAAATAAAAGTACTCCCCAGATAATCCTCGCACTTTCGTTACCCTAGGCCAAACGTTAGATCTTACCAATGAAGCGGTCGTAAATCGCGCACCTGTCATATGACTTCCGGCTGTCGTAAAAATATATTTAGTAAATTAATGGGAAGAAGAAATATATATTTGGTTATTTGTCATGCAAATAGTGTTACAGATGCATTGGGTAAAAGAAATAATCTATTACAATACAAAAGAAGTTGAATATTGAATGTCGAAATGCGAATTCGTACCCACAATTCCACTTCCCTAACAACATACCAATATGGACGCCTAAACCATCACATTGAGAACGTTTCTACTAATTTCCACGAGATTTTGTCTCTTATTTCACTTGCATCTTGTTTATGATTCCATCTCTACCTTACCCTAGTTCTAAGGAATCAATCATTGGGTATAGATCACAAATCTGTACCTGAATTAATATTATTATTATATTATATCTGTTTTGTAGCAGACGACGCATCTTGACTGATAGGCTTATTGGATACTTGCAAAGGCACGTAGCCAGATCAAAGTGACAAGATGGCTGCAGCAGCTGGCGTTAAATCAAGTGCAAAAGATGCTCGAGAGCTGTACGAAATGAAGGAAAGGGCAATACGATTTTACACAGATAATGGCGTCCCTAAGAAGATGGAGGAGATCCTGAACTCAATGTTTCATGACAACCCAGCAGATGTGTATGGCCATCTTGTAAGTTATTTTGAAAATATTACTGACAAGTTTTAAATTTGTTCAATCAACCTACATAAGCTACACGACAATGCATTATTTGGATTGAATGGAGGAAAACAGTGTCACTTAAGATTCTTGACACTAAATTGGTTTATTGGCTCTGTGAACTACACATCTTCCTAAGTTATACATCCCCATTAATTACCGTATTCGATTTAATAAGCGGCCAGGGCGCTCTCAAAATTAGAAATAGGGGGCTCCTATTAAAATATTATTTTGGTGAAAAACAGAGTTGAAAGATAAATTTTGTGGTTTATGCTGAGAGCCTGAAATGTTTATGTACGGCAGATATATTTTTCCAGAATGTATTTGCCCATACTTAATGGTGCATATAACACAGGAGTTCGTATTATACATGAATGAATAAGTCTTGTTTACATTGATCAATCGGAAGGGGTGCTAATTGGGATTGTTCACGTGCCAATATATTAGCAAATATCGCCGTGAACGCTTATTAGAGCGGGGCGCTTATTACGTCGAATACGGTACTTGTGTTCTACCGAACATCTGAACCATGATTATCAATGACACTAATGTTTTACTTTTTACACATGAATAACTCCATAATTGGCACCTACAATTGATCCCTTATACTAAGTTATAGCCATTCTCCCCGCTCATCATGTTAGATCAATAATCAATTGTTAAATAACTTTTCATTAATAGGTCTTGTATGTTATATATATTTTTACAATGTATGAACCAGATATTGCTGAATCTTATCAATATTTCATACTTCATTCTCACAGGCAAATTATTTTGCTGAATTTGCCAAAGTCCCAGTAATCACAAAGGTAAAACTTTACATACTTCATGTTCATCATCATGCCAAATGTAGTGAGTGAGTGCATGTTATTTGATGCCACAGTTAGCAATATGTAAATATTATTAAATGCAATTTGGACCAGGCAAATCTGTTAATGGTAATAAATATTTCTAAACAAAATGTTGCAAAATGATATCACATGCTGCCGTTAATGATTCACAAAGCAGTAGCTGCTAAGCATATGCCATGAATTTCAAGGCGCCTGTGACTTTGGTCACCATTTCAAAGTCCAAATCATGTAATATTTCTGTTGATCCATCAACTTCACCAAATCAACTCTAATGATTGCTGAAACACATGTTGGGGATAAATGTCTTTATCTCTGACTGATTTCTATTAATAAATGATTCAAACACTGAAAAACATGATGCAGGTAAAAGGTCGACAAGGGTATGACAGCAAAGGACAGTCAACTGTGCAAACTGAAGTTTACTGCATGGTAAAGAACCATGAAAAAGTAAGATATACTTTTGTTTTAGTTTTTGTTTGGTTGTTTTCAATTTCTTAAGCATATAGGGGTTGCTGTTAATTGGAATATCATGCACAGTTTGAATGTACCTGCAGTGATTTTGCTGGAGACAAATGGCTCTGGCACATTTTCACAAATTTATAGGATATCATTACCAACTTTGAAAAAATATGATTAGTTCATTTTGGATGAGAATCAGTCAGTATCCTAGAAAATAAACTGATCTGAAACCTTATACCTAATTTGTTTCCACCACAATCATGAAAACCTTAAAAGATGTAAACATTTAGGAATTGGGACTTTTGTTAGTGCTCATCTTTAATACTACTGTTAATGTAGCTCATCAGTTCCTGTGTTGCCCCAAGTGTGACTTCAATGCTGCTGGACACTGCAAAGCCAGAAGAGAAAGACACTGAGGATGCAGAGAGACAGGCGTCTGTAACAGCAGCCATCAACTACATCAACACCGACATCTGTAACAAACTGGAGGGTCTGGACCCAACACAGCAGACGGAGGCAGACGATGTTGTGTAGTTAGTAGATTTTGTCTTCAGAGTATTTGAAATGTAATTGTCATCAGTTTGACCAACCTCGACTATAATCTGGACCAGTCCATTACAGTAGCTTCATTTTAAGTGATTGGTATGACACAATGGTAGAAATAGCTCATGTGTGCTCATGTGTGAGAAGAATTATGTTGGAAGTTACTGATGGTGGGACAGATGGAGATGGTGATGACACTTCCCAAACAAAGCTAATGTAGCGAATGGGCCCATAGAGGTTATCCTGTGAGTGTGTTTTGGGATGGTAAATATCCTGGATTAGGAATAAACATTGTATCTAGCAAGCCTTGGTGAGCATGATAACCTCTTTATCATATGATGTCATTCTGTAGTTGAAAAACCTGTTTTCATCTCTCACAAACATAAAATAAACATCATAACTTTCCCTGTAATGCACATAATAATATGTAGAGAATATCAGTGACTTGTCAGTTGGACACATAAAAAACATAAGGGATACATCAAAATTGATGACTATGTCCAACACTAACTCATCATGTTTCAGCAACTTCATCCAGCAGATGAAAGATGAAATGGAAGCCCAGAAGGCTGCGGAGGCAGCAGCAGCAGCTGCAGAAAATGCAGAAGAGGCACCCACACAGGACACCAACGAGTCTAATAATTCTAAGAAGGCCAAATCTCCTACTGGAAAGTAAGTTTAGTCTGCCAGACATCTGCTCAAGAATTGTGTATGAGATGACATTACCTGTATTGCAATATGGTATAGTAATTTCTTGGTAAAATATGTTGTACATAATCTTTTGTAACAATGACCCCAGGTGACATTTTGCATTGGTAAATGGGAACAGATGTGATAATTGCCAGGTTGATAGGTTGATAGTCTTAACATTAGAGAGTATTAGTCTAGGAATGTTAGAATCAAGGCAGACTAACTACAGCTAGATAGTGCATAAAATGCTTGATACAATAGCATACAATTAATGTGTTTCTTACTACTGGGTATCGTTTAACAGTACTGAACACCAGGAGAACAGTTCAAAACTTAATTGTCACAAGAATCCAGATGAAATATCTGACACAGCTGTCAAATGGAATACGAGTTGACTTATAATCCAACCCTGTGAAAATCTGTGTTCGAATTGGTCTTTAGCAACCCATGCTTGTCCAATCACTGGATTGTCTTGTCCAGACCTGATTATTTACAGACCACCATCATATAGCTGGAATATTGCTGAAAGTGGGGTTAAACAACAAAGAAACAAGTATGATCCATGAAACTAACATAAGAGCTTTTACATTTTTAGTTAACTGCTCATACAAATGCAGCTGTCATCTTTAGCTATAGACAAAGTTTAGTAATATTCTTTCAGTCTAGATAGCAAGATAAGCTTTGCCGATGATAGTATATAGCCTTGACTGCAAATAACTAAATCTATATGTGGCATTAGGAAGGAGTACTAATGAAGACATGATTGATTAAGTAATAGTATATAGTGTTGCAAGGACTGCCAATAATTATTTTTTGCCTTTAAAATTCTGTCAGATTAGATGTAAAATTTATTATTTATTGTTGACAACACTGATAATGAATTGACAATCTTTCATAATCTCTGAACTTATACTTATGTATTTCAAGATTCTATGTTGTGAAATTTTACAATCATCCATTGGTTTTAAGAAACATGTTTTACAAAGAGTTATGATTGTTTTAGTGAGGTTGAGGGGGACCAGAAGTAAGTGGTCTTGTTGCTGTGACAACTGTCAATGCACTTTAGTTCTTATGTCAGTGTATATATCACCTCCTCTAAGTTATGTTGCATTAACCTTGCTTGTGTGGTGTGCTTGGATATAACAACATGAATTAACACTCTTTACATTGACGCACTCTCTGTACATCTGACATGATCCACTCTCTACATCTGACATTGCTCATACAACAATCATAGATTGTGTCTAGTGTTAGATTTGAATGTTGACCTAATACTTAAGCACCATAATAGTTTCTTGTGTTTGACAATGTTAGATGTGAATGGCTGACTGAAACGTATGATATGTCCTTTCAGTCAGTGCACAGTAGACAACATAACATTTTTTCAGCATTGTGTCGTTAATGGAATGTTAGGAGTAGACGGAAACATGTTATGCCTTCATCAACCAGCCACAGTGAGAATTAAAGAAGGAAATGGGTAGTGATGTGTGGGGATGAAGTGGATGGTGCTATTTAAAACTCGAAATGATGCAGGAGTTCAAGGATGGAAATGAACTAAGATTTAGGATGGAAAAAGGCATGTTCTGATTTTGAATTGGGAAATGAATGAGATTTACAGGGACAAATGATTATTGGTAATGGGATTTAAGGATGAAAAAATATTTGGATAGATATGGATGGTGAGGTTTTCACATGGATATGGATGGTGAGGTTTCCAGATGGATATGCATGGTGAGGTTTACAGATGGATATGGATGGTGAGATTTCCAGGTGGATATGGTTGGTGAGGTTTAGAGATGGATAAGGATGGTGAGGTTTACATATACTGAACAACAAAAGTTCCTGTGACATTGAATAAGATTTAATGCAAAGTTATGTTTTTTACCAAATCTGAAACAATTTCAGTTTACAACAGATAAAAGACTCCTGTAAGTGTTCAAATGGTTTATTTTGCCATACTGACTTCAGAAAATGCGTGATTTCATAAAAAAAACCATGAACATGCCAAAATGTCAATTTACAAATCAATAGCGTGTGTGTCCACCTCTGGTTGCAATGCAAGCAACACATCTTTGTCTCATGGAATGGACCAGGCGTTGCACACAGTCCTGTTTGATATCTGTCCATATCTGCTGGAGCATGTTTCGAAGTCTGTGTCTGTGGAACACGTGGTTGACGTCGAAGGCGCCGATCCATCTCATCCCACATGTGCTCAATTGGTGAGAGATCAGGGGAGCGAGCTGGCCATGGGATGACATTCACATTGTTTTGTTGAAGTGAATCCTGAACCTGTCGAGCAATATGAGGCAGGGCGTTGTCATGTTGAAAGGTAATGCCTGGGCCATGACGACGCAAAAACGGTAGAACAACAGGGCCGATGATCTCATCGCGGTAGCGCTGTCCATTGAGATTTCCCTCTACCTCTATCAAACAGGTCCTCTGTCTTGCTGTAATCCCACCCCATACCATAATGCTGCCGCCCCCGAATCGATCTTTATCCATGACACAATGATTGATGTAACATTCACCTCAATGTCGGTACACTCAAATTCGTCCATCGCTGTGGCTGAGGTGAAAACAAGACTCGTCAGTGAATAGAACTTGTCCCCACTGCATGGTCGTCCAGTGTAGATGCTGTCTGCACCACTGTAGACGTGCTTGAGGGTAGTTTCCTGTCAAAATGGGATGTCTGGCGGGTCTTCTGGCGACAATCCCTGCACATCTGAGGCGATGACGTACGGTTTGTGAAGATATTCGTCGAAGGCCAGGGATGCTTCTTGCAGTCACTGTAGCTGGCTGGAATCGATTTCGTAGGTGTGTTGTTCGAATCCAGTTGTCTTGTCGATTATTGGTTACGCGTGGCCTGCCACTCCGAGGATGGTCTCTGACTGCATTCGTCTGTTGCCAACGTTGCCTAACACACCGAATGGTGTTTCTGTGGTCGTTAAATTGTCTTGCAACATCACGTTGACTCGATCCTACCTCAAGCATACCAATGGCTAGCAGACGCTCATTTTCGGACAGGCGTGGCATTGCGTTATGTTGAATAACTGCGTAATTTTGTTGTTTTTCTGAGTGGTTGTAGTCAGCATGATGCTGAACAATGCATATGGAATCCCATTAACTCACATTTTTATACCCATTCTTGGGTAGTGAAATGAATGGGGCTTGCATAAAAGTCAACTTTTGCATGGAATGCATGCTTTTCTGTAGCAGTTGCGTTTTTGTGACTTGATTCCATACATGTACTACAATATCGAAAACCAAACTTCACTTGTTTGAAAAATACACTAAAATATTGGTGTCACAGGAACTTTTGTTGTTGAGTATATGTATAAGCATAGTGAGGTTTACATATGGATATGAATGGTGAGAAGTTTACAATGATATTTACAAGAGATGGCCAGTTGTAAGGATTTGGTATATGGATAGATTATGGGGATGAAGAGATCCTGTGTGTGGCATGTGTTATTAGTGGTCACCCATAGTAGTACTGGTCAAAAGCAGCAGGTCAGCAGTCCAGTATCCAGCTGCAATGTGTTAGCAGTTATATATATTAAGTGGATAAATACAGATGAACTCTGTTGTGGTGCTCTTTGGTAAATGTTTTACATGACTGACGTGCTATTACAGATCTATTATGTGCTTTACTGTACCTTATGTATTGTTAATGTTAAAAATCAATTTTTTCATTGTTAATACAACTACTTGAAATTGTTTATATTCATTTTCAAATATTAATCTTGTTTAAACTAGAAAAAATATCCATATGTATCCTGAAAAGGTCATGAATATAACTGTAAGATATGATTATGAAGAGTTTCTTAAATCATGTATGTCTGATAAATTTGCTCGCCAAAAAATGTACCATACTCGCCGTAATAAGCACTCTGGGCTCTTAGACAACTGGTGAGGTGAGGTGATATTGGGGTTTAACATCACGTCCAAGATTATTGCACTTAAATAGCGACGTGCGTGCACGTGTATGTATGTGTGTGGCTGTTTGTACAAGTCTGGACTGATGCCGATTTATAGTGTTAGCTCACTGAGATACCATGCCGCAGATTAACATGAATACCCCACTCAGACACAGTATACTGACTCCGAGCCGACCAGTCCTTGTTTTAGCCCCTTAATGCCGAGTGCCAGACAAGGTAACAACAAGTACCATCTTTTAACGTCTTTTGGTATGACGCGGTTGGGGATCAAACCCCGGACCTTCCGCTCCCCGGGCGGACGCTTCTTAGACAACTGACGTAAGGGTGAATTTATTGAAACCAGAAAGAAACAAGTTAAATGTATTTTAGAGATCAAGCACTACATGAACAAACAGTTCAAACAAAGATGAAACTAAGTCCTTTTGTTTACAGTTACTAGGCAATTATATACCCTTCTAAGCTTCTGTTTTCTGTAAAAGAAATCTGTAATATGGACATGAAAATATGGACTGTCACATAATTACATAAGTAGGACAGGCTTTTAGAGATTATTTACAGATTGATCTAGAAGTTGGTTGGGGGGCACTTATTGGAGCAAGGCGTTTAATACGGCAAATACGGTAGATGTGAAATACCCCTAAAATGAGATGATTGTGTAATGTTATGTTACTTGATGAAGAATTCATGTCTGCAGTAACCACTTGGGTGGATGATGACTGTAATGTTTATGAAATATTCCCACAAATGTACATAACTCTTACATACCGGTAGGTCCCACATGTATCATTCATATTTCTTCAGAGGCGCTAAAGGCAAAGCCAGTCAGATCATTATCATCCCTGATGAAGCACGGGAAGAGTTGCTAGACGGCAGCTGTCTCGTGAGCGCTCTCAGTCAGGCTGTGTGTACAGCTGGAGCCGCCATCAAGGACGTCCAACTCTACCACTATATTGCCGCTCTCAAACACAAAGAAGTAAGCGTAGATATCATTTTCAGATTTTGTTTGTTTGTTTGTTGTTTAATGATACACTCAAAAATATTCTAGCTATATAAAGGAAATAAACAAGTCTGGACCAGGCAATCCGGTGATCGATATTGTGAACAACAGTCCATATTGTCAGGGTATGATGACATGCAATCAACCAAGTCACCGAGTCTGACCATCCGATCCATTTGGTCACCTCTTATGACCAGCATAGGTTGTTGGGTACTAATTCTAACCTAGAATTCCCACGGGGAAGATTATGTTTAAAATAACAAAATATAAATTCCGTATTTGATGTAATAAGCGCCCAGGGCCCTCTCAAAATTAGAAATAGGAGGCTCTTATTAGAATATTATTTTGGTGAAAAAAACGGAGTTGAAAGATTTATGCTGACAGCCTGAAATGTTTATATACGACAGATATATTTTTTTACCAGAATTTCATTGCACACGATTAAGGGTGTTATAACACTCGAGTGCGTATTATACGCGGATAATTTAGTCTTGTGTACATTGATCAATCGGAAGGGGTGCTAATTGGGATTGTTCACAAGACAATATACTAGCAAATATCGCCGTGGGCGCTTATTATAGCAGGGCGCTTATTGCGTCGAATACGGTAGGCCGTACCAAGTAACAGACCACTGTTTCCCTATTGGCTTGTGTTCCATAACTGTGGAGAACGATGTCACTGATATCATGCTGATGTCTACATTTTTGTGCGTGTTTAACTGTTAATGACTGAATAAGCGCTCTGTTGACAAAGATATTTATGAGATTTGACTTCAATATGTGTTTTACGTTTACTATTTCTGGCTTAATTTATGAGAAAATACACACGGTAATCTTAATCTCTGCATATAAAACAATGCTTTGGAGAGCAGGAAATACACACTCAAATTGTAAATCATCATATCTAGTGATGTTTTATATCAAATTTCATACTTTTTTTGACCAAGTTTGTTACCCCTTTTATTCACCTGAATTCGCTGAAGGGATATGAAAGCGCATATTAATACTCGATAAATCCTTTTTTTTTCACTATGAATCATAAACAACTTCTGTTCTAATCTTTTTTTAAACTCTGAAACATGCTACGTAGATCATGTTAGGTAGGCAGAGCATCTACCACCTACGACTTGATCATCTATAACGCTCATCAATTATTTGGACCCCGAAGGTAGTGTACTAGGGAGGGATCCCTCTATTATAGTTAATACCTCCACTAATGCAAAAATATTACTTTTTCCATTTCTAAATACATCAGTGAAATAATTTTGTGTGAAAATAGGATCTATTTTGTGTATTGCCACATATCCTTTGAATATTGTAGTAACCGCAACTTTGCAGTTTGTAACCTGTAATTGTAAATATAATTATTTGAATATGTCTACCAAACAATGACTGAAAAAAAGTACTATGCTGTGAATATTACCCCCCGTGGTGATGCGGCCTTCAAACCTGCTGTTTGAATCAGAGGGGGTTTATTGTGATTTAATAGCCTCTGATTGATCAATCTGAATCAAGTAATTTCCAAAATCTTGGTAGAATAGTCATTAAACATCATGATGTCAGTACAGACTGGCCAGACAAAGTGTATGGGTTTAACAAGATGGTGACTGGCCAAACAGTAGCTAGCTGTTTTATAAGTAATGTTTAATTGTTTTACAGATGCCCAGCACACTACAGCTTCCTCTGCCCATGGTCACCATCATACAGGGTGGGAAGGGAGCTGCAGGGAAGATGAACTGTATCAAGGAGTACATGGTCATCCCCAAACCTGGTGTCCCCCTCCGAGAGGTCAGTATGGACAGATTAGATGGAAGGGTACTGACCTAATATTTACAGACTGCCGCCATATAGCTGGAATATTGCTGAGTGCGGCATTAAACAAACAACAAACCAAACCAAGCCATCCTGCCAAAATTGACATCATCATCATCATCATCATATTGCAATCACATGCAGCTTCTGTTGGCACAGGAAGATCCTATGGTGTTACAAGGTGCACACAGGCTTGAAAGGGTCTTGAATTTTAAGGTCCCTCATGAAAAGGCTTGATTTTTAGTGTCAGCCTTGAAAAGCCTTGAAAATAACCAAAATAGTTTGAAAAGTCTTAAATTTGTACAGGGGGCACGGGTGGCCCAGTCGTCTAAGGCGCCGTGATTCGCTGCCTGTGCAGAGTTGTGTCCCTTGGGCACGCCAGAACCTATGATTGTGAAATGGAAGAATGTTTGTGTTTTGGTCAGGGGACATTGACAGTCGGATGCACTGTGACTGCTAGTCCTCAAGAAAGGGAAAGATAATGTGACTGAACATCTTCATCAACTTGTTTCACAAATTGTTTTCAAGTTAATAACCAACAAAGAATCCTCCTTTTTGTGTTGACAGAGTATGAAGAACATCCTAGGAATCTACAACCACGTCAGTAAAGCTCTGTGTGTGAAAGGAGGGGTGAGTATTTCTACAACCATGTCAGTAAAGCACTGTCTGTTAAGGAAAGGGTGAGTTTTTCTACAACCATGTCAGTAAAGCACTGTGTGTGAAAGGAAGGGTGAGTTTTACTACAACCTTGTCAGTAAAGCACTGTGTGTGAAAGGAAGGGTGAGTTTTACTACAACCATGTCAGTAAGGCACTGTGTGTGAAAGGAGGGGTGAGTATTTTTACAACCATGTCAGTAAGGCACTGTGTGTGAAAGGAAGGGTGAGTTTTTCTACAACCATGTCAGTAAAGCACTGTGTGTGAAAGGAAGGGTGAGTTTTACTACAACCTTGTCAGTAAAGCACTGTGTGTGAAAGGAAGGGTGAGTTTTACTACAACCATGTCAGTAAGGCACTGTGTGTGAAAGGAGGGGTGAGTATTTTTACAACCATGTCAGTAAAGCACTGTGTGTGAAAGGAAGGGTGAGTTTTACTACAACCATGTCAGTAAGGTATTGTGTGTGAAAGGAGGGGTGAGTATTTTTACAACCATGTCAGTAAAGCACTGTGTGTGAAAGGAAGGGTGACTATTACCACAACCATGTCAGTAAAGCACTGTGTGTGAAAGGAAGGGTGAGCTTTTCTACAACCATGTCAGTAAAGCACTGTGTTAAAGGAAGGGTGAGTTTTTCTACACCATATCAGTAAAGCACTGTGTGTGAAAGGAGGGGTGAGTTTTTCTAAAACCATGTCAGTAAAGCACTGTGTGTGAAAGGAGGGGTGAGTTTTTCTACAACCATGTCAGTAAAGCACTGTGTGTGAAAGGAAGGGTGAGTTTTTTACAACCATGTCAGTAAAGCACTGTGTGTGAAAGGAGGGGTGAGTATTTTTACAACCATGTCAGTAAAGCACTGTGTGTGAAAGGAAGGGTGAGTTTTTCTACAACCGTATCAGTTAGGCACTGTGTGTGAAAGGAAGGGTGAGTTCTTTCTGCAAACATGTCAGTAAAGCACTCTGGTGAAAGGAAGGGTGAGTTTTTCTACAACCATGTCAGTAAAGCACTGTGTGTGAAAGGAAGGGTGAGTTTTTTACAACCACGTCAGTAAAGCACTGTGTGTGAAAGGAGGGGTGAGTATTTCTACAACCATGTCAGTAAAGCACTGTGTTTGAAAGGAAGGGTGAGTTTTTCTACAACCATGTCAGTAAAGCACTGTGTTAAAGGAAGGGTGAGTTTTTCTACACCATATCAGTAAAGCTCTGTCTGTTGAGGAAAGAGTGAGTTTTTCTACAACCACGTCAGTAGAGCACTGTCCATTAAAGGATGGGTGAGTTTTTCTCCAACCATGCCAGAAAAGCACTGCCTGTTTAAGGAGGTGTGAACTTTTCTCCAACCATGTCAGTAAAACAGTGTCTGTTAAGGGAGGGGTGAGTTTTTCTACTGCCATATCAACAACTCTCCCACCCTGTGGGGATTCCGGGGTATAATAATAAAGTTAGATACAGCAATAAGATGGTCAATATGAGCACAAGGCCAAGAATATGTCACCAGAGAAAGTGATCAATGCTATCTTCATGTCATAAACAGATGTTCGTTATTAGAATAGTTTAATATTGTTTTGTTTATGGAGGAATAAGAATTTAAACCGGGGTGCGCACAGTGTAAATATAATCCATGTTGTTTAGACAGTCCTGGAATCACTTGCAGTTTATTTATGAAAGTATTCATAGAACTATGAGCAGCGCCTGGTAATGCCTGTGTTTGTTGCAGGGGAATGCAAGGAATGTCAATGACCTGGGTGCCCTGTGCCCTGTGTTCGACAAGCCCGAGCAGGGCCTGGACCTGATCCAGGAAGCCATGACTGCTCTGTCTCTCACCCCCGGCGAGGATGTCAGCATCGCCCTCAACATAGCAGCACACGAGATGTTCGACTTTGTGAGTAGACTGTCATGTCCTCATATCTTCTAACTGACATTTTTTTTGATAGAATATCTACTTACTTATTATCATTTTTTATGTTCATGAATTTTGGACTTAGTGGGGCTCTCAATGAATGTTGAGATAAAATGTTTGGGATCTTCATCCAATCTGCAGAAGTTCTGTAAGTGTGGCACAAGTGGTCACTGCCAGGTAAAGAAACTGAGATATAGCTTTTTAAAAAATCCCAAACTATCAAAAGACACCAGTTTATCACTAGACCTATCTATGTGCCATGTTTGGTGAAGAAACATTGTACGGTTTTCAAGATCTGCTCTTGAAACGAGCACTACCACCATTTTCGGTGTAACTCAAAGTCGTTGCCATGGAAATTGAAAAAGAATATTGTTCAGGGTTTGCGTCAGTTCAGTTTGTGTTCAAGATGGACATGTCCATATTTCATGCAGAGTGCTTCTGTTGTAGCCAGGGAAGCAGTATAGTCAGGAGGTAACATGAGTGATTAGATTGTGCTGTGATGAGTAGATTACTAGGGCTGCAACGAATAACCTATGAGGCGAATAGGTTCGATTCGTATCACGAACATAGGGTAATGAATACGGATATTTATTCACGAATACAATAATAAGTCAGTAGTTGATGTATTATTTGTTACATTCAGTGAAACATTAACAACATAAATTATTTGACATGGTTTGTTAATTATCTATATTATACATTTATATACTGCACTTGTCCAGGTACTTAGTCTTAGTATCTGCTCAAATGCTACAATGACCAGTGACCAAATTCCTGTTAAATTAAATATTATAAGAGTGTTGTCTTGAAAGAAATCTATGCATATCATATGTTTTTATGGATGTTTTTAGGTACAGGGTATGAAAATGCACATGATTGCATATTCATAAATATTCGATTCTAGTGGCCACGAATAACGAATTCAATTCATGAATGGATACGGTTCGATACACCAAATATGCGAGTGAATCGTAACGGCCCTATTGATTACACACCCAGTTACTCAAGGATTGCACTAGCTTCTCGTGTTTGTTTCTGGGAAGTTAGGGAGAAGTTTAAGGAGTCATTCAAATACATGAGTGAAAAAACATGTAAAGTCTTAACTATGAGTTGACAGTTGTCAATTGTCAATGAGAAGATGGTATGATTATCAACTTTTTCATTTTAAATTTTGTTCGCATACTTATTGCCTCCTTTCAATTGTGCTTTGACAGATATCATCAAACCAAAACCTGTGTTAAGCCACGAACTTATAATGATATATTCAAGAGAAATATCAAAAATATTTTCAAGACACAAGTATATGAGGTAACCCATCTTCCTTAGGCAAGGGCAGTAACTGACTATAAAAGTCTGGTTTCCATCCTTGCCGAACGAACTAGGCTGGTATTCCAGAGTTACATGTTTGCTAGACGAACAAATCTATGCATAGTCCAGTCAAATTTACATAAAGAACTAGCCATCAGATTTGTAAACAACATGGATTTTAACATGCAGAGTTTGGTCGACTGCAGGATTTGCAAAGCATGTGTACTGTCAACTGGGCGTTGACAGATATTTTGCATATCTTTTCAATTTTTTAATCAAGGAGTGCAAGTGATACACTTTGCGGGGTAAGACCTGTTTTATTACAATATAGATCTTGATTATTGATCAAATCATCTTGACTGGGTGCAAATAAATGCAAGTGATATGATGAGAGATGGAATCTGATTGGTCAATAGGAGGGACATAGAAGGGACATAACTCATAATAGCCACTGGTTGTGCTACAATTGAGCCTGGAAAATCCAGGCTAGTTCAGCCAAGGTGAAAACTGGACTCTTATAGGAAGGGAAAGATGGGTGGAACCATGTGTCAGTTCAATAAGGACAACAGTAATTATGTGTCAAGCTGTGCACTGTGTTGTCATGTGATAGTGAAGGTCAGTGTCGCTCACATAACACCATGGGGATATCAGTCAAAGATATACCGGTAGGTCACCAGCAAGAGGTGACTACAAGCATCAATGTGCTGTCATGCTGCGTAACTTGGTTGATGCATGTCAGTGTATCCCAGTCACATTGATTGATGCTCATGATGTCAATCACTGGATTGTCTGGCCCAAACTTGATTATTTACAGATTGCTGTCATATGGCTGGAATAATTGCTGAGTGCAGCGTTAAACGATGAACAACAACACTCACATAGGGTCATCATGCCTTTGTTACTGTCTTGTCATGTACTCAGTTTTTTGGGAAATTGTTGGTACAAAGAATAATGTGTGTCTTCTATGGACACAGACTGAAGCTGAGGACTGTGTAAGTTGGGTAATGTTAGTCCTGTATGCTTGTTGTCCACATCGTCTGAAGCATGTAACCAACTAGTGCACAGGGATAAAGGTATGCCAGTACATATGTATACACTAGTGTTTGGTAGAATAGATTATATCTAGCATATATGTACATGTATGTTATCAGCCAGATCGTAGTAGTACCCTGTTTCACTCTGAATGATCTGTCACTGGGGATAGTGATTAGTGATCTTCATTCACATAAATGCAGACATAACAAGTCTGAACAGCCTGAGCTAGTTTTTTCAATGTATATGTATATTACCGTATTTCCTCTATTAGACGCCAGGCCTCTAATAGAAGCGGGGTCAATTGTTCAGTGCAAAAAATAGAAGCTGGGCCTCTAATAGATGCCGGGTCGATCAATTGATACAATTAATGATCCCTTTTTGGGACCTAAATTACATAATGAGTACTCCCTTTCTCTTGGGGGTATTAATAGAAGCCGGGCCTCCAATAGACGCCAGGCCTCCAATTGATGCAGGGTCAAAGGCTTGTCCGAAATAAATAGAAGCCCAGGCGTCTAATAGAGGAAATACGGTATTTACACATCATATGTAAAAAACAAAGGCTAGGACTCCATGTGTCATTCTTATGCAGTAATTGGATTGTTTCATGTGCCATATTTTACATAATTTTTTTCAGTATTGCTGAAATGATACTGTTTTTGCAAAACTTTCAATCTTCTAACCTTCTAGTATTTCAGCGTAATTTGTTTGAAAGAAAGTTGATTAAAATCCGTTATTTTACTTTAAGTGGAAAACTGAAACTTGTTTGATATTTTGTTATCAAGTATATATTTACATACAACATATATATGTACATGATGAAGGAGTAAGCATATACTCCTAAACGTTGTGTTCCTCATAATGAAGAAGTTAACATTCATAAATTCTCTTCCATATAGAAATCTTGTTAAAAAGTTGATCAAATCATGTGATGGTGTTAGTACATGTGTGCATGTGCAGGTAGACAGGCAGGGCAGCATCATGTGCACATTAGTTGTAGTGCGCACCTACCCGTCAATAGGGGGTAAATATCGGGGTAAACATTGATTTACAGTAGCCGCATCATGATGGTCTGTTTCTATTGAAATGATACAAAGTTAATGTTCTGTAATAAGAGTGAGTGAGTGAGATGGGTTAAACACCGCTTTTAACAGTATTACAGTTATATCACAGCGTGTCAGCTTAATGTGGGAGGAAAGCCCTAAGTGATGCAAGTCTCAGACGTTTACGACTTCGGTGAAACCCACGAGCACGGGTATGGTGCTGACAAACCTAGAAACATAATCAGGGCAAACTGGGATTCGAACCCACAATCATAGGTTTCTGGGGTGCCCAAGGGACGCAACTCTGCACAGCGAATCTCGGCGCCTAAGACGACTGGGCAACCCGTCCCCCCTCTGTAATAAGAGCTACATGAAATTACTGGGCATGGTGTTGGTGAATTGACTGTTGTTTTGGAGGAACATTTGATATTATATATCTGGTAACACTTCTCTCTTACACTAATGGATGTAACTTACAATTTATGATTGCTTTTATGGAGGGTTGCCAATCAATCATCAATCACAATCATTTAGTTCACTTACATTCCTTATTTAAAAAAAGAAGAACTTAAATTAATCTTATGCCATAACTAAGTATTTGGATAAATACACTGCTACTACTCTCTATATTGTAGCACTATCTTATGTTGTCCCAACCCAAACACCCCGATGCCCAATGATAGTCTCTCCCAAACAGATTAGATGGGTCAGTGACTACACAGATCACGCTGAGCCATGGAGAAACCACTCATGCATGGTTAGACAACCAGGCATAGTGAAGCTCTAAAAATTAGACGACTTGGGTTGTAATCTCCATATTATGGCATAATAAATTAATAAAGAGAGTAAAACTGTGAAATGGGAGACATTATATAATATATAATATTTTATCAAACGAAATGTCTTACTCATATGGAAAGATAAACAGTAGACAGATGTAATTAGCGTGGATGAAATCTAATAATGAATCTATAATGGCCTTAACATAACTAAATGTGGAAATGTGCTAACAACCTGAATTGATGCAGGAAGGGCATTAAACATCAAGGTGGATACAGCTTTTTTTAGAAATGGGTACTGCATTTTGTGATTTGCATTTTACATTCTGTAATCATGTAATTTTGTTGAATATCTTCAACAAATGAGATAGTTATAGTCTTGGTATAAGTTTACTTTTGGTCCAACTAATCACCTATATTTCAAAATGTAAAAATGTTTTTAAAAAAGTGGGTGTTACTCCCTGCTTCCCCTCCTCTCCATGTCTATGTACAACCTCAAAAAGTAAACTGACCCAACCCCATGTTAAGATAATTCTTGGGGTAAGTAGAAGTCACTTGTTGTGGAAAGTTTGCCTATATGATATCACTATTTGGGTGAGCGATAGTCCGTTTCCTTGTATGTGTGTGTGTATTTGAGTGTGTATGGTAACTGTCCAGGACAAGGGCAAGTACGAGGTGGTGACCGGTCAGCTGAAGACTACCGAGGATTATGTTGAGTTCCTGGTGGAACTACTCGGCCGCTACCCTGCCATCAACGCTGTCATCGACCCACTCAGGAAACAGGTAGCGTCATTGTCAACTAATGTAAATAAACATCACCGAAAACAGAAGTGACACTAAATACAGACAGTTTGTCACTGATCCAATATTTATACAGTGACATTTGCAAATCACTTTCCTTGTCCAAATCATTTGTAAACTAATGTGTTAGCTGCAGAGGATTTTCTATAGAAAGGGATGAAAATAGTTCATGTGACATGTGTAAAGCATATATCACACAAGGAAAATGTAAATATACCTGCATATTTTGCAAGTCAAGTTTTCCTGTTTATTAAACTGAAAAGATCCCTGCAACCCTAGCACTATACACATCACCTACTGTTTATTCCTTGTGAAGACACTATATAAAACAGTTTGTGTGGAACATTAACTGTTAGCATTACTGGCCCTATAGGTATATTACTTGTAGCCATATCTTGTGTTATAGAATACTAAACAAGCACCCATGTAATAACAATTTTATGAAATGTGTGAATAGTTCTGGTATCTGACTTGCTTTCGCTTGTCGGATTCTAGAAAATTGGTATTACACAGTACAGAGTTTAGTACCAGTATTTTATTTATTACTTGCTGTTTATAAATTTTTAAATTTTCACTGTTGTGTGTATATAGCTAGACAACTATGCGATCCACAGCTTAATCCAATTAAGTTTACACATATTAATTAATACCATACAACGGCCTGCCTTTAGAATTTAGGGTCCGTTCCTCAAAGCTATCGTAGCTCTAACGTTATCGTAACTCCCATACTTTAACATAGACTTACCACTGTCATTGCGCTAAAATCGCTTTGTGGAACAGAGTTCTACAAAACAAAGTTTACAATCACGTCACAATACCCAATGACGTAATTTGTGGAATTTTGTTGCAAGAACCACCAGCGAAACAACCAGGGTTGCTGGGGTCATTGAGAGTGCATATGCTTCTCTCAAAGATCTATCATCTCTGCATGCAATGATGTTGAATAGGCCAAGAGATGTTGGGAGTTTACAATATTTGTTCGTGAAACTTGTTCCCTCATTCCATAAGCACATACTTTGGTATTACACAATGTTGATCTCTTCACAGGCCAGTAAGAAATAAATATCTGCTGCAAACATTTGAATATGGCAACTTATCACAATACACACCGTCCTTGTTTGTATATATCTTGCTAGGACTTTATCTGGACCTAGTCAGAGGCTATGAGTGAGTGAGTGAGTGAGTTGGGTATAATGCCGCTTTTAACAGTATTCCAGTTATATTGCGGCATGTCAGCTAAATGTGGGAGGAAAGCCCGAAGTGATACGGGTATGGTGCTGACAAACCTAGAAACATAATCGGGGCGAACCGGGATTCGAACCCACAATCATAGGTTTCTGGCTTGCCCAAGGGGCGCAACTCTGCACAGCAAATCGCGGCACCTTAGACAACTGGGCCACCCGTGCCCCCCAGAGGCTATGAGTATTGCGCTCTAAGTTTGCAAATTCATGTTAATAATGTTATGGCTTTGTACGTGTTGTTCAGACCATATGTATTTCACCGATGACAGGACCAGTAAAGAGGAATATGATTTAATGCCTTGTTTCACATTCTTGAATGCACTGTTAAAATACATTGTTAAAATACCTCTGAATTGAAGAAAATAAGAACTTAAAAAAACCTCCCTAATTTGAACGCAATAGTGATTTTTTTCTATTTTGGCTGCCAAGGGCACTTATCATATAAGAAGTGGTTTATTCTCCCTGAGGTATTTTATTGTACGATAAACAATGACCACGAGTCGTTTATTTCTTTGTGGTAGTTTATTTCGAAAGTGGACAGACATAGGGACGCCTACACATTGCCCTGTCAGCAACTATATTCATGGAGACAGGATGGTTAAAAAGTGATTTCCAACATATTGTTGGCCTATTTCTTTGGCCATCAACATCTGATGTTATTTCTTGCCTATGTCCAGGATCGTGAGCAGTGGATACGACTGTGTGACCGTATCTCAGTGGCTGGTTACATCGTCGGTGACTACGGCTACCACCGCCCAGGTCTGCTGAAGCATGAGGAGCTGGATGAGGACTATCAGACCAGTGGAATCCTCCTCAGATGGGAGCAGATGAACACGCTGTCAGACATTATCGCTGTGGCCAACAAGATGGAGGGTGAGTTGACACTCATGCAGCACTGGACATGACGGGATGTAGACAAATCACTGACAAATGAAACTCGCTGACTTGGTTGAAGCATGTCATCGATCCCAATTGCGTGGATCAATGCTCATGAAGTCAATCACTGGATTGTCTGGTCCAGACTCGATTATTTAAAGACCGCTGTCATATAGCTGGAATATTTCTGAAAGCAACCAACCAACAACTAACATGCATTTTGCATTCATTTTCCGCAAGTTTTTTTGCATATCTATGGGTAGATTCAACTGGAAATAATTCCTTACAGGTATCATTGAATACAACCACATATCTTACCTTACACTTAAATGGTGGATTCTAATTAGCTGAGACCGATTCTATTATTTTCATTGTACCCCACATGCAAGGGACATTTTTTATGTTGTCGAACTGTTGGCATTATATTTGCAATGTTGTATCTCAAATTAAGTATGTAAGATGCCATTTGCCGGATATTTATGATATTTTCCGATTGAAATAGATCCCGGGAGAATAACTTAGTTTAAGTTTGTTTTTGTTCTTGTCTGCTATTGAACAAAGTAGATATACGCCTAACTGTGGTATTCTTACCCATTTGCACCAAAGCATGCATGAATAAGACATACCTGCAATATAATTAGTGTTGTCTACCAGTGCCCCTTGAGCATGTTGAGATCGGTGGACAACTTATATCATATGTTCTGTATATTTTGCGCAGGATATGCCTGTTTGGCACATGGTCCTGTGTGGTATCACCTTTGGCAAATGCCTCTGTTCTTCAAGCAGAGAATGACTTTCAAGTAGGATGAGATGTCTATGTGGCTGCAACCTTCTTGCACCTATCAGACAGTTTGAGTGCACACTGATCTGTTGACTCGGGTAATAGTTGTGTAATGTCATGAGCATGTATTAGGGCATGGCTACAGGGCAATATAAGTGTACATTTATCATTATTATTATCATTATTCTCTTAGCTGTATTGTTTTGTTTTTCAGAAGCCGAGAATGAGATCTTTGTGACTGCTGGTCCTGGGGAGACAAGCCAGGACATCCTTGCTGACTTGGTACGCAAATGTTGTGTGCAACACCAGGCTGTCAATCAGGCTACATGGCAGTCAGTCAGGCCACTTGGCTGTAAATCAAGCCATGTTGCAGTCAATCAGCCCTCATGGCAGTCAATCATGCCACATGACAGTAAATCAGGGCACATGGCATCCAGTCAGTCAGACCACATAGCAGTCAGTCAGTCAGACCACATGGCAGTCAGTCAGACCACATGGCAGTCAATCAGACCAGCAGGCAGTCAATCAGGTTACATGGCAGACAGTCAGACCACATGGCAGTAAATCAGGTCACATGACAGCAAATCAGGCCACATGGCATTCAGTCAGTCAGATCACATGGCAGTCAGTCAGACCACATGGCAGTCAATCAGACTACATGGCAGTCAGTCAGACCACATGGCAGTCAATCAGACCACCAGGCAGTCAATCAGGTTAAATGGCAGTCAGTCAGGCCACATGGCAGTAAATCATGTCACATGACAGTCAATCAGGTCACATTGCATTCAGTCAGTCAGACCACATGGCAGTCAATCAGACCACATGGCAGTCAGTCAGACCACATAGCATTCAGTCAGTCAGATGACATGGCAGTCAATCAGACCATGTGGTAGTCAATCAGACCACATGGTAGTCAATATGACAATGTGGCAGTCAATCAGGGTACTGGTTCTGGGCTAAATGGCCCAGGACAGTTTGCCCTTTTTGATTAGGTTCAGCCTGTCCTGGGGGTAAGTGCAGCTCTGTTAGGATTCCAAGTTATGCTTGTCTGTGACTTGGTTGATTGCACATCATCGTACCTCGACAGCGTAGGACATTGCTCACAATTCGTTTGTCTGGTCCGAACTCGACTTTATACAAACCACTGTCATAGCTGGAATATTGCCTAGTGTAGCACTAAACAAGAAACATGCAATCAAGTGGAAATTCACGTTTTAGTTTTTTCTTTAATACTTGTTTGTAAGGGAATGCTAGTCTGTTCCAAGAACTTTTGTCTCTACAAACCTGAATTTCGTTATGCCATGTCATATATAGCCTGAAATTAACCAGAGATGCTTTGGTAATACACAATATACATGAACGCTTTATTCACTGATCTTGTTTATCAAGTTAATATAATTAAGCACTATATTCTTGGGTATTCCGAACGATAGTTACGGGGTTAATGACTGAATCCATACAATCTAGACCATTTATTAGCCATTCCAGAATGTTCTTTTGTTCATGATTCAAATTTTTAATCGAGAATTCGTCAAAATATGTTTCAAAGCGTAGTCGCCATTTTGAAATTAGTGCCTTAGAGCACGAGAAAGCTGCCTCCTGATTGGCTAATGTCGACTTCTTGTCAGTCGTTCCATTGGTTGGTCAAAGTTTGCACAAGGTCGTTCTGACGTGACCCGTAATGGGATGTCCTCAGATCTTTGTTTAGAGGCAGCGAGAACCTAGATCTGATTTTAATGAGATTGCTGAACATGCTAAAGGTGGCATAAAATCCTACACATTCATATACATTATTGTCTCGGGAGCTGTTGGGAGGTTAAGTTGTATACTATCAATGTTGATCATTTGTAAATAAACTAGTCGCCTTCTTCACTGGAGAGTAAGTTTTGTCTTGTATGTGAAGGATGAATATGATGATGACTATTTTCTCTATAATTTCATTTCTTCAGGCTGTGGGTCTGAATGCACGTTTTCTCAAGCTTGGAGCACCATGTCGAGGGGAGAGGATATCGAAGTTGAACCGTCTGCTGCAGATAGAGGCAGAGCTAGAGGAGCAAGGCACCCTGGGATTTCATGATGCTCATCTGTACCCTCGTATAGAACTAACCCCTCCACCGGTCGCTACAGAGACAGAAGCTGAAGACAGTTCCCCATCACCAGCTAAGAAGGGAACCAAGAAGAAGTGAGGGGATGGCATCAGTGAAGGATGTTCTCGTAATGGCTGACAGTGTTAGGATGATGCTTTCCTGGCAACTAACTGTACTGGATGTTTATCTAGACTTTCACGCTGGCAAATTGTGTAAATAATCACATTGAGATGTTCACTGAGAAACATCTTGGCTGTCTCATCTAACACAGGAGAGATTGAATTACTAGTGCCATGTGAAACTTACAAGTACCAGATCTTCCACGATATCTCTGGTCTTACATTTAAAATACCCTGGATTAAAGAACAGCAAAGGCAACATAGATGTTTTGTTAGGCTAAAGCAAAATAATAGTCTTGGTTCTTAGGCTCCGCCCACATCATCATAAAGTTTGCCACACGTTTCCTTTTTATTTCCATTTTACGAAAAAAAATAAATCCATATTCCATGTCTAACCGAAGTCAAATACTGTATTCCAGTATTTTAGTCAGGAAGAAATTCATTTATGTAGGGAGGCCCTTTTCCAGATTGATTGTACAAAGCTATTCACCAAAAAACAAAAAAAAACACTGCCCGCCCACACTATATTTTCCATAGGCATTGCCTGAGAACCAATTTAAAAAAAAATAATTAAGCCTTACATCTTAATTCTTCTGACATGAAAGATGTAAAGTTTAATTGTCCGAAAGTCTAACTTTGGTTCCTTCTTGCCATATGTATCCCTCTTTGTTTAACCTGAGCTGACTGTACTTCTCACCATGTTCCACTTGTCCATGTCATGCATTTTGTGTTATCATGTACAGGTACAGCCCTAGAGACTAACAGTTGTAGCCCACTACCAGTAGTCCTTGATGATAACATACAGCAAAACCCTTAAAAAGGTCAAATTTCTACTAATCCTTAGGATACCTTAACTATTGGGTAGTTTGGCAAGGACTACGAGACTAGTGCCAATTTTCAACGCTGAGGTATTGTACAGCATCTAAGAGGCTTCCTGTTTTCCATTCAGGGATCCTGACCTCTGATCTGTGTATCATATGTAACAACCCTAACACCATCCCATGTGAAAATGTTATGGTGTAGAACATTGTGTAAATTGGATGTATGCTACTCAAAACAAGTTAAGACCGACCACAATTGGAAGGCTGTGTGTTGCAATACCTCCCAGCCGTGACAGATTAACTAGTTATATGAGTGAGTGAGATGGGGTTAATGTCGCTCTGAACAGTATTCCGGTTATATCCCTGCATTTTAGTTTAATGTGGGAGGAAAGCCCAAAGTGATGCACATCTCAGATGTTTACCACGAGCACATGTGTGTAATATAATCATGGGTCATATGAAAGAAAGCAGGTGTTCTTTAACTTCTTTAGAGTAATATATATGTATTAACAGCATGTACATAACAAATTATCTGTACAAATGTGTATATATTGAAATAAACTACTTTGTTATTTTTATATGTTTGAATGTGTCACCAATTTGATGTGACATTCCAAGCACCAAACATATAAGTAACATCCAATTATCACTCCCCAAAGGACTAAATCTTATATATATTTGTTGTACAAGGCAGGGAAGTTCCATGTGAGCACCTACCACCATCGCTTTAAGAAGCTTCAGGAAATAGATGTGTATACATGGTATAGGCCTACATGTAAGGTCAAAACACATTCCAGTTAAATTAAATATTAAGCATACAAAGATCTTCATGTCTGTTGACAAAACATTGTCATATTGAAACAGAAAACTGTGAACAGCTATGCTCTCTGTTGGAAGTCGCTGTGCACCTCTATAAAAATATTTTCAATGCAGATGATGAATTACGAATGAAGAACACCAAAATCAAGTTTTATTACATCACAAAAATTGCTGATAAACAAGTGAATACAGGAATAATACTGACCGCACATCTGTCTATACTTCATCCCTGGACCGTACCTGGGACAGTTCAGCATATATAATGCCCATGGAGGTGTTCCACAAGTGCCCAACACCGTCCAGGTGAATTGCCTGATGGTGGAGTGCACAATGGACTATTACCAAGGCTTAGAAAAATAATAGTCTTGGTTCTCTGGCACCGCCTGCATCATCATAAAGTTCGCCCCACGTTTCGTTTTTTTTCCATTTTAAAAAACCAAAAGAAATCCTTAAATATTCCAAGTCCAACGCTACTCAAATACTGTATTCCAGTATTTTACTCATCAAGGAATACATTTATGTAGGAGGCCCTTTCCCAGGTTGATTGTACATGACTGTATATTTGGTTACATACTAGTTTGAACAACCTAACAAAACACAAACAAAAAAACACTGCCTGCACTATATTTTCAAAAGCCATTGCCTGAGAACCAATTCTTTTATTTTTTTAAGCCCAATAAGGCCAATTTCTTCAGAGACTTTTCAGGTGGTCCAGGCAAAAATAAATCTAAAAATAAAAGAACTAGTTAACAAGTTCAGTGTTATAATTCATTCACTGAATGAGACATAATGCCAACATGTTCCTGTAGACACACCACCCCTTTTCTTTCTTGTTGGTCTTGTAACCTGTTCACAAAAGTTGTGAAAGATTCACAGGGACATAACAATCTAAGAATTGTTTAAGTCTGCAGAATATACAAAAGCTGAGTTCATCTGTATTTTCTTTATCTATAAGCAGATCTGTAACCCAAGAAGAATAACTATAATTCTCATTTGTTGGATGGCTCAACATACATGTATTGCATTTAGGACTCCTGAGTAAGACTGATGAAGTTATCCTAATGACAATACATAAAAGAAATGAGACACAGATTGAATATTGACAGTAACAGTAAACTGTAATGCCTTTCAGACACAATCTTGTTGATATCAGCCCTTTCACTCTGATGTCACCCCTCTTAGTAAGAGGTTCTGATGACATCTGTATAGCATCAGGTGAACTTTGAGTGAAATTTGACCTCCCAATCTAAACAAAGGATGAGTGGATTCTTGAGGCAATTAGATATCAGTTCTTGAAACAAATTCAGCTTAATTTCTTTATGACCACGATTCAAAATTTCTAATTAAAAAAAATAGAATACACAAAGAACACAAATATTCCTTCAACCGTACTCCATGATGCTTAAATTACAGGGTGTATTAATAACCACAACAATATAATGGTGCAACCTTTATCTTTTACATTCGCAACAGGCCGATTTAATTACATTTGTGAGAAACAGAAATCGGATAGGCTGGTCTGAAAGTTTTGCTCCTTGGAAGCCTCGATGCTGATTGGCTGATTAGAAACGTCACGACACATCCTTCTATGGGACCACCTATCCTGATTAAACATTGATTGAGATGGTAAACTGTGCTGCTACTACTACCCACCGAGAACCTGTTTCACAAGGATGTTAGCACTACGACTGTCGTAACTCTCAAGACATACGATAGTCATGGTGAGAAGATCACTCTGTGAAATAGGGCCCTGGGTGCTGTTGTACAAAGCGATCTTAGCGCTAAGATGATCGTTACTCCAATACCTTAACACAGACTTATGACAGTCGTAGCGCTATGGTCGGCCTGTACAACGGCACCCTGGTGGGTATGCTAAAGAGACACCCGACACAGAGACACATAGTTCCTATGTTAGTAGTGCTAATGTTTGTGTCAAACACACTAATAGTATGTATAAAACCATATTTACATAATGTACAATATTAAAAACTATTGCGATTAGTTAAAACGCACATATTCCATGAACAAAAACCATGAAAATATTAAATCTCTGTGCGTAAAATAACATATGTGCAAGATCAGAGTTTTATGGTTTTTTCACTTGATGTAAAATAAAAAAACTTTTTTACCCTGTAGATTGAGAAGAAAATAGATATTAAGAAGAAGAGTATATCGTGCATATTATTGATAATAACTAGACTACTCCACTGTGATAAGGATAATAAGACATTCTATTTATATATACACTTGACATGAGGATCTGTTTTGTGTATCATGGAGAGATAAAAATATCCCTATCAGAAGTGGAGTAGAATAGATTCCTCTGGATAGAGAACCCCAATATAATGTAATACTGACAACTGTAGAGATTGACAGAATTTTATGTGAAGATGTTTCTACAGCAGTAAGAGAGTCAGGCTTCAAGCTTCTTGGAACAGTATTGCTAACTCTGGGAGGAATGTCGGTGGCAGAATGTCGGTGGCAGAATGTTAGTGGCAGAATGTTGATGGCAGAATGTCGGTGGCAGAGTGCTGATGGCAGAATGTCGGTGGCAGAATGTTGATGACAGAATGTCGGTGGCAGAATGTCGATGGCAGAATGTCAGTGGCATAGCTACTATTCAGCACAAAGGGCTTACACTTTGAAATCGATACAAAAATAAAATAAAAAAGGTACTATTGTTTTTTTGCTTGCCATAGTTACATGATCTTTGGTCAATTTACAGGTTGACCGGCTACCATTGTGATGAGTCGGTTCTATGGTGTTGTGTTGGCTCGTTGCATTAGTGTTTGAGGATATCTGGGTTTGATCACTATGATTCTATAGCGTTGTGTTGGCTCGTTGCATTAGTGTTTGAGGATATCTGGATTTGATCACTATGATTCTATAGCGTTGTGTTGGTTTGTTGCATTAGTGTTTGAGGATATCTGGGTTTGATCACTATGATTCTATAGTGTTTTGTTGGCTCATTGCATTAGTGTTTGAGGATATCTGGGTTTGATCACTATGATTCTATAGTGTTGTGTTGGCTCATTGCATTAGTGTTTGAGGATATCTGGATTTGATCACTATGATTCTATAGCGTTGTGTTGGCTTGTTGCATTTGTGTTTGAGGATATCTGGATTTGATCACTATGATTCTATAGCGTTGTGTTGGCTCGTTGCATTAGTGTTTGAGGATATCTGGGTTTGATCACTATGATTCTATCATAGCGTTGTGTTGGCTCGTTGCATTAGTGTTTGAAGATATCTGGGTTTGATCACTATGATTCTATAGCGTTGTGTTGGCTTGTTGCATTAGTGTTTGAGGATATCTGGATTTGATCACTATGATTCTATAGCGTTGTGTTGGCTCGTTGCATTAGTGTTTGAGAATATCTGGCTTTGATCACTATGATTCTATCGTGTTCTGTTGGCTCGTTGCATTAGTATTTGAGGATATCTGGATTTGATCACTATGATTCTATAGCGTTGTGTTGGCTCGTTGCATTAGTGTTTGAGGATATCTGGGTTTGATCACTATGATTCTATAGCGTCATGTTGGCTTGTTGCATTAGTGTTTGAGGATATCTGGATTTGATCACTATGATTCTATAGCATTGTGTTGGCTCATTGCATTAGTGTTTGAGGATATCTGGGTTTGATCACTATGATTCTATTGTGTTGTGTTGGCTCGTTGCATTAGTGTTTGAGGATATCACGGTTTGATCACTTTGATTCTATAGTATTGTGTTGGCTCGTTGCATTAGTGTTTGAGGATATCTGGATTTGATCACTATGATTCTATAGCGTTGTGTTGGCTCGTTGCATTAGTGTTTGAAGATATCTGGGTTTGATCACTATGATTCTCTGTTTGATAAGAGTCCAACGTTTTTAAGAAAAAAAATGTACTGTAACCTGTTTGCTTACATTTTAATTCCCCCCAGCTGCTTCCCTGAATGTGGATATACAGAACTCTTGGTAGGGAATTAATGCTTGGCATTTTTATGTAGAAACAAATATAATGTTTAGAATATATGTGAACTATTTCATTAGAAGAATACAAAAACAAAACTTGTAAGAACTCTAATATTGTACAAAAAATGCCTATCAAAAGTTTACATCATCAACAATAACATGCATCTGCATCAGCTTGTGTCCCAACAATACTGCAATCTCATTAAAATCAGATTTTAGTTCTCGCTATAGCTAAATGGATATCCCATTACAGTTCAGGTCAACGACCTTTCATCCGACCAATCAAAGTGTTGCTTACCAGATCATGAAAGTGACAGTCGGAATGTGTTTCCTAATCATGCAACCTCAGAAACGGTAACTCAAGGTATTACGAACAACAGTTATCAATCGCTTTCTCTCGCTTTTGTGGGATAAACATTTGAACTGATCATTTGCTTGATAACGGTGTTAGAATCTACACCGAAACGTCGCCCAATTGTAATAAAGAAGTTGCTCATCCATAACAATTTTGTCTTAAATTCTGTTTCTGTTGAGTATGAAACATCTTTGCAACAGGCCAGACAGACCTTTGGGCCCACTTGCACAAAGGGATCTTAGCGCTAAGATGATCGTAACTACCATACTTTAACATAGGCGTACAATAGTCGTAGCACTAAGATCGCAAGTGGGCCCAGTACTATGTCAATACCAGTCAGTGATTAAGGGCCTTGATCAGCAAAACAGCTCTGTACCTTAGGCAACTCATTTTTATGAAATATTTTATGGATTTAGCTTGGGTTAGTCTAAATATAACTAAAATTACACACAAAAATTCAGCTCAATAGTTTTTTAATAATTTGGCAGGAAATTTAATTGTTTTGGATGGAGCCATTTGACAAAAAAATAAATATGGACTCATTTTCATTTCTGATTGTGTCTGTAAATAAAAAAACAATTAAATTTAAAAATAATAATAGAATTTAAAACCATAAGACTATTTTCGTTATTATTTCTAGATGTGGCTTTTTGTCCTAGTTGGTTAAATCTGTAAACTAATACATAACAAATGAATAGCCTCAACATCAGATATGAGATATGATAGTTCACATAGTCGGTAAGTAATCTGCAAGGCCTGGTGTGTATGTTTCTCCATACTGGATCAGGCTGTACCACAATTCCCACATGGTGCTGCTCCTGAAGATAGAGAAGCATACTTTGTTCTTTCAGCTCCATGGTAGTCAAAGGAGGGGTTAAGAGGTCTCATATGACCTTCACCCTTGACCTCCATGGGTGTTGTGTTCAGCTGTGACCATCGTGGGGGTTTCTGTAAATTGACAAAAATACATAATGGAGATATATACATATATTATCTATGAGGGCAAACATATCAGTGTTCATAAAAATCTTGTGTGCCCTAGGGTCATATCACATCACGAGACAACAGTGTATTCTTTCCAAAATCCGGATGGCATTGTTGACGTCATTCGAATCTTATCGTGACGTGAGGTCAGAATGACTTCACTAGAAATGACGTCGAAGCTGAAGATTGTTGATGTCATTCGACAAATTGTGGTTCCGCTGCTGTTGCGACTTGCTGTCCATATAGGTAAACACTAAAATTCGTCTCTGTATGTAGACATCTTCTTCGGTAATAAATAGAACATTATATTCATGTTCATGTCATACTATGTTTATGACACTCATGTCGTAAACATTGTTTGACATGAGCACGAAGATCATAACTTCTACATATAAACGTATGTACCTTTGCAGTTGTAGTAGCATATCTCTATAATTATGCAAAACACTAAGGTGCACTGAAAGGCTTGCATCAGGCCAGTATGTCCTGATTTCAGAGAAAAGTCTGGTCACATGATATGCAAATTAGCTTGTGGCAGTGGTGTAATGCTAAGTCAACACTGCACCGAGTATGAGAAAATGTGTGTACAGCTGATTGATATTTCTGGCTTAGTTTAAGAGAAAATACACATGGTAATTTTAATCTCTGCATGTAAAACAATGCCTAGCAGATCAGGTTAATCATCATGTCTCGTGATGTTTCATCGCAACTTTCAAATGTTTACTTTATGACTCATTTTCATGAATCTGTATTTAACTGACAATATTGAACGGAATTTTGAATAAACTTAATAAAATACGCATTCATTAAGAATCATCATCTACAATCTTGTCCACATACATTCATAAACAAAACATTACTTGTCACTGTAAGGTGATTAAGTGTCATTCACTACAAACACGTGTTAATTATCCAATAACTAATGTGTTCTCTTCAGCAATAAGTATCTGTATTACGCTCTTTCCTAGAACGAAGGTCAGGATCTTGGACCCCAACAACAGCGGTATATCGAGGGTTCACTGTACTACCAACACTCACAAACACAGGTACAGGAGCTCACCTTCAATGGACATTCACTACTTGTACTGTTTTGCCTAGAGTTTTGCGACACAATGAATCTACTTTTTAAATGCACTCAAAATGTTTAACCTGATTTCCACTATCATCAGGTTTTCAAAGAAAATGTATTGAAAATCAAAAAGGCTTTCTTAGACCTATGGGAAAATGAAAACAACTTGTTGCAATTACCGGACCATCTTTGGTGAGGGGAAATGGGGTTTAATGTCGCATTCGAGATTATTGCACTTCTATAGCTCGTGACTTCCCAAGTTGATTACATACAGGCAAGGAGTCAATGTCACCTTCATTCATGAGGCGGGGGCATGGGTGGCCCAGTCGTCTAAGGCAGCGCGATGCACTGTGCAGAGTTGCGTCCCTTGGGCACGTCAGAAACCTATGATCGTGGGTTTGAATCCGGTTCGCCCCGATTATGTTTCTAGGTTTGTCAGCACCATACCCGTGCTCAAGGGTTTCACTGAAGTGGTACACGTCTAAGACCTGCATCACTTCGGGCTTTCCTCACACATTAAGCTGACACGCTGCAATATAACTGGAATACTGTTAAGAATCGGCGTTAAACCCAACTCACTCACTCACTCATTCATGAGGCACTCAGAATTGCAGAACAGTTTGCACTATCTGATCGATGTCAGAAGCACAGTTGGATGCAGGTCTAAAGACGAAAAACACTTATTGTAAACAGCTGTTGCCCTACTTATGAAACCAAGGATCATCTTCAAGGTAATCTGAATCCTGGCAACCATATACTACAAATTGTGGCATCTACACTAAAACCGAAACCTGTGATCACTGAAATATATCGCAACTCCAACTGGACTACACCTTACCACTAAAGGCCATCTAAACAGAGGCAAAGAGTTTTGCATCCTTGATGATCTAGTGTGTTTTATTCTGATAAATACCCATTCAAAATAATTGCTTCTTTTTGGAGTCATGTAACTATCTCCATCTCAAGCATCACTATGGTAACTAACACAAAATCTCTCTCATGAGCCTGATATGGACAATAGGGTGAGTGAGCCATCCCACTTTAAGCACTACTCCTGCAATATCACGGAGAGGGACGCAAGAAATGGGCTTCACACATTTTACCCACGTGAGGAATCAAACCCAGTCCTTTGACGTGACAAATGAACACTTTGACCACTGGGCTACTACACCGCCCCTCGAACAACAGACACATGCCACAACTGTTCAGGTGAGGCAAAATACATATCACAATAATAATATGATAATAACTAGTGTTGGTATCCAGTTCGAAGAACTGCTCAAAAGCGCTTCATTTGAGTCTACACAAAAAAGAGACATCACACAGCTAGGAAAACACAAAGCCTCAATACTCCAAGAAAGATTTGGTGAAAAGATAGGTTTTGAGTCTTGATCGGAACAAAGTAGGACTGTCAATGTTCCTGATATCCAATGGCAGCCTATTCCATAGCTCAGGGGCAACTTTGACGAAACTCCGACCTCCCCAAGGTCGCCGTTCTAACACTAGGCACAGAGAGTAGGGACTGGCAGCTTGATCTGAGAGTTCTCCCAGGCACGTACTCTTCAAGAAGCTCGCTCACAAAGCAGAATAAGACTCACCTGTTGCCCCTTCCTTCTCTGCTACAACTTTGATTCTCCTTTTTCTTCTTCCACAGTAGGCAATGATTTAGACTGGTGTACCGGGGCAAATACTGTAGACAGAACACACCCGTCATCAACTCGGACAGGAAGCATGGTCAGCATAAAGATGGTCGCTTAATACGATCTATATTTAGGGTCAATGGTATAAAATAAAACATGAGTCTAAAAAAGAATGACTCATTTTGAGGTGGAATCTCCCAAATTTCCAAGGATGCATATTTGATGAAAACAGTTATCTTATTTCGTGAAAATCATTCAAACAGGATCAATATTTTTACAGTAGAACAGTTATTTTAAATCGTGAAAATCATTCAAACAGGATCAATATTCTTACAGTAAAACAACTGTCTTTTGATTTTCATACCACTCTCCCTGATCACAGGACAATTAATCCATTTGTCTCCAGTGTAAGTGACGGATTCCTTATTCTGGGGTATATTAGACTCAGAAAGATAGTTTAAGGTCCCAAACTCCCGGGGAAATCCCTCACCATCGTCATTCTCCGTGTCTGTTTTCCGGACCCGCCTGAAGGCCTTTGCCAGCTCTGAGTTCTCATCTATGCCTGGCACCGTTGCCGTTAAATCCCCCTCACTGCGGGTTCGTTTCATCTTGTTCTGAGATTCAGAAAACATGAGTATCCTACACAGTCAACTTAGGCTGTTTTCACAACTAGTCTCATGTTAACTGTTTCTGATGTCTGAGGCCATCATCTTCAGTGAAATGTTATAAACTGAATGTCCTGGGGACTATCCAAATGTGTGACCAACCCTGAGATAAGGGACCTTATGGGTGAAAATTCACATTTTTACTTCTTACTATCTTTAAAAACTACAGTATCTTAGGACCACAAAATACATTTGATAAGCTTCAATTCATATTTATTACAGAGTGACATGGCATCAAATATTTGGACTCATTTTCTGCAAATTCCAGTTTTCAGGCTTATTATTTCAGGCTGTTCATGTAATAATTGCAGTTTTTAGATATAATGTCTGATTAATTGAAAGTAGACATGTTTGCTGAATTTTTTAAAAGTAATATAATGTTTTTATTACATTACATGGTGAGGTGAAATGGGGTTTAACATCGCGTCCAAGATTATTGCACTTATATAGCGACGTGCATGTACGTGTGTGTGTTTGTGTGGCTGCTTGTACTAGTCCGGACTGAAGCCGATTTATAGTGCTAGCTCACTGAGATACCATGCCGCAGTTTAACATGAATACCCAACTCAGACACAGTATGCTGACTCCGAGCTGACCAGTCCTTGTTTTAACCCCTTAATGCCGAGCCCCAGACAGGGTAACAACAAGTACCATCTTTTAACGTCTTTTGGTATGACGCGGCCGGAGATCGAACCCCGGACCTTCCGCTCTCCAGGCGGACGCTCTACCACTAGACCACGGAGGCGGTCTATTACATTACAAACTAACGAGAGAAAAATATGATATTTTTTTAGTGTCCTAACACATGACGATTTTTATGGTAGTTGGTTGGTTGGTTGGTTTGTTGTTTAACGCCGCACTCAGCAATAATTCCAGCTATATGACGGCGGTCTGTAAATAACAAGTCTGGACCAGACAATCCAGTGATTAATATCATGAGCATCCATCCACGCAAATGGGATCGATGACATGCATCAACCAAGTCAGCGAGTCTGACCACCCGGTCCCATTAGTCGCCTTTTACGACAAGCATAGTCACCTTTTACGGCAAGCATGGTCACCTTTTACGGCAAGCATTATGGTAGTAAGTGAACGTCAGATGTCTTTCTTTATGACGTCACAGCACAATTGTATCCCAGCCAATAAGGTCCCTTTTCTCATGGGGGACACATATAAGGACCAAATTACGCATAGCTCAAGACAAGCAGACATAATTCAAATAAGGATTTAGCTGAGACCATAAGATACATCATCTTTAATAATATATCGAGTTGATAGTTAACATGGTTAAACTGTACAATATTAATCTATTCGGTATCGTAATCCGGTGATTTGGAAACAAAAACAAATTTCACGGAATTACTGGAAAAGATTGCAGGCACAGGTGATGATAGACTTTGGCCAGTACTGTAAGTCAAGTTCATGAATGCAGCAGGGAGTGTTAGGTAGCTTAGTGGTTGAAGTGTTGGCTAGCCTCACCGAAGACCCGGGTTTGATTCCCCCCATGGGTAGAATGTGTGAAGCCCATTTTCTGATTTGGCCCCGTGGTGATATTGCTGGAATATTGCTTAAAGCGGCGTAAAACCATACTCACTCACTCACAAATGAATGAGTGAGTTCAGGTTTTACACCGCTTTTAGCAATATTCCAGCAATTCACGGCAGGGGACACCAGAAATTGGCTTCACACATTGTACCCATGTCGGGAATCGAACCCGGGTCTTAGGCGTGACGAGCTGACGCTTTTACCACTAGGCTACCCGACCGCCCCGAATGAATGAATAAATGAATGTTGCAAGCAAGCCAAAACACCCTAGATCAACTCACCAACACATCGTGCAGCTGGTGCATGGCGCTGTTGGGTCCGGGCACTGAATCCTGAAACAAGTAAACTCGTAGTGACACACCTGACTTGACTTTCTCTTTCATGTTTACATGTTACGTATTGCATCGTGTTGAGAACTACTGACATTAACACGGACCTTTCTAACATCAGTGAGAACTGATGATATTACATTCCTTTTGATCAGGCTTAAGATGTCCGTACATACCTTTCTCACAGGTTTCAAGACTTTGTTGAGAGATCGGCCATCTTTGATTCTCTTCATCATTTCGTCGAGAGCCTTGCTGTAGCCATCGTTTGTGGATACTCCACCCCCTGCCACTATAAACATCAGACAAAGTTAGACCCAGCTGTCAACACCACAAACTAGGGTTGGGACGAGTCCAATTTTACTACACAGCTAGCCAACCCCCTATTTCCCAACCCTACCCGGGTATCGGCTGTAGGTCTCAAGAGATAGGTACAAAATGTCCGATTGGGATTTGTTTGACCAGAGCCCTGGCAAAATGTTTAGGTACAGTATAAAACAATCTGGTCATGCATACACTGAAGTTGACTGATGTTTTGTCTAAAAAATATATAAATCAGAAGGAACGTGTGAATAGTCAGAGAGAAATGCAAACAGTCGTGACCTGTAGGTTGAGTATAACAACCTATCAATACACATACCCACAAGGGACCACTGAACAGAGTATACTTACATTTCTTATTAACATCTGCCTTTAACTTGGTCTTCCGTCTGAAGAATCTGTGAGATGAATGAATGAGATGAGATTTACACGTTATGACAAGTCTCACTTCGTTCATTTGCTTGTTTGAATGTGTCCTAGAGTTAAAGTATGACACAAAATGAGCCAGCTGTCTTCCATGTTTGTTTGTTGTTTAGCGCTGTACTCAGAAAGTATTTCAGCTATATGATGGCAGTCTATAAAAAATCGTGTCTGTATTAGACCATCCAGTGACTAACGACATCATGAGCAACGATCTATGCAATTAGGATACGATGCAGGCATCAAGCAAGTCAGCGAGCCTGACCACCCGATCCCCTTAGTCGCATCTGACGACACGCATAGGTTGCTGAAGATTGCACTTGGTGAAGGAATAGGGATAAACCATGTTCGACATAATAAGCGCCCGGCTCTAATAAACCCCCACGGCGATATTTGCTAATATATTGGCTAGTGAACAATCCCAATTAGCACCCCTTCCGATTGATCAATATACACAAGACTTATTTATTCGTGTATAATACTCACTCATGTGTTATATGCACCCTTAGTTATTGGCAATTAAATTCTGGAAAATATATCTGTTGTGTATGATACGCACATACTTTTCTTCTGTATCATTTCAGGCTGTCAGCATAAACTATGAAATTTACAATCTTTCAACTGTTTGATTTTTTTCACGAAAATTATATTCTAATAACATCCCCCTATTTCTAATTTTGAGAGTGCCCCGGGCGCTTATTACGTAGAATACGGTATATTGAGTAATTGCTGTATTTTGAATATTGTTGTATTAAACTGAGATGTGTACCAGTGCCTGTTATCATTTGGAGAAATGAACATTGAGTATAAGTAAACTCACGTTTTCTTGACAACTGGCGGTGGTGGGGGTGGGGGAGGGGCAGGTGGCGGCTTTGTGGCATCCTTGTACTTCTCCTCCAGTGTCTTGTCTGCAAGATACGGTAACACCATCATAACCTCATAACATCATGTAATTTCTTCACAACATCATGTAATATCTTCATAACATCATGTAATATCTTCATAACATCATGTAATATCTTCATAACACCATTGTAACCTCATAACATCATGTAATATCTTCACAACATCATGTAATATCTTCATAACATCATGTAATATCTTCATAACATCATGTAATATCTTCATAACATCATGTAATATCTTCATAACACCATTGTAACCTCATAACATCATGTAATATCTTCATAACATCATTGTAACCTCATGTTTGTTTGTTGTTTAACGCCGCACTCAGCAATATTCTAGTCATATGACGGCGGTCTGTAAATAATCGAGTCTGGACCAAACAATCCAGTGATTGACATCATGAGCATCAATCCACGCAATTGGGATACGATGACATGTGTCAACCAAGTCATCGAGCCTGACCACCCGATCCTGTTAGTCGCCTTTTACGACAAGCATAGTCGCCTTTTACGGCACACATTGGTTGCTGAAGACTTATTCTACTCTGGATCTTCACAGGTAATATTTTCATAGCATCATGTAATAATATCCTCATAACCTCATATAATATCTTCATAACATTGTAACCTCATGTAATATCTTCAAAACATCATGTAATATCTTCATAACTATCATGTAATATCTTCAAAACATTATGTAATATCTTCATAATATCATGTAATATCTTCATAACATCATGTAGCATCTTCATAACACCATTGTAACCTCATAACATCATGTGACATCAACCATATGATTGAAAGCCCTGGAGACATATGGTAATGATAGATGAAGGACCATTAATGGAATGAATGTGGAATTTCATTCAGTGAGCAGCAGATCATGGTTAATCTGAGGGACATCAGCACCCATTAAAAAATCAGTAGCCATCAGTCACTTCAGATCAATGATAGACACATGTCATCGTATCCCAATTGTTTGGATCGATGCTCAAGAAGTCAATCACTGGATTGTCTGGTCCATATACTTGATATTTTACAGACCACTGTCAAATAGCTGGAATATTGCTAAGTGCAGCGTTATATTACAAACAAACAAACAAACAAACAAACCAGCCGAGGTCAAAACAGGAAGGTAATTACTTCAAAGATGGCTGGGATGCCGCCTATGATATTTGCTAGTCTGAAGTAGTTGTTGTACTCACAGTGTGCCTGCAAGTCTGCATACTGCCCCTCCATCTGGGTGTACTTCTGATTGACCTCATGCATTCTAGAACTCAGGGAGTCTCTCTCCTCCAGAAGGGACTGGTTGTCAGTCTCCAGGGCTATCATCTCATCCTTGTTGCTGAGTTCAGAGATCCTTTCCTCAAGATCCTTCACCTAAAGGAGACAACACACTACTTATAGAAGGCTTATTATCTACCTTGACATCCTTCATCTAGGGGAGACAACACACTACTGATAGAAGGCTTGATTATCTCCCTTGACATCCTTCATCTAGGGGAGACAACACACTACTGATAGAAGGCTTGATGATCTCCCTTAACATCCTTCACCTAGGGGAGACAACACACTACTGAGGGGCCTTGATGATCTCCCTTGACATCCTTCACCTCAAGCTTCTTCCCAGCGCGTGACACCTTCGTTACACTCTCGGTAACATCGTTGCCACCAGTGTGGGCGCGGCCATTACAAGAATCTTGAAATTTGCCCTCAAACCCCATATGTAGTCAAGTTTATACTTTTGTTTATGTCTTTGGGAATGCCATCATATTTCATTTTGAAAAGGTTTACGACTGACCATGTTTTCCAGATGAATTTACTTTGTTGTTTTGATAATCAGATTGGTTCAAGATTGCAGACTAACGGAAATTAACCAACTTCTCCCTTACATTCTTACTATATCAATAGCACAGTAGTTTTAATGAAACAGAAATTCAAATTGACAAACGAAGAAAGTAATTTAGCAGCAATAAGTGTATTCGGCGTCACGACAGTCGTCACTTGTTTGTAAACATAATGGTCGCTCGGTTGCGAGTTCAATTCCAAGCATGGTTGTGGCCACCTATTCACAGTGGGGAGTTTTGACTGGTGGCAGCGATAGTATAGAGAGCTCCACGAACGGGCTATCGCTGTGAGGAGCTTGCCTTCACCTAGGGGAGACAACACACTACTGATAGGCCTTGATGATCTCCCTTGACATCCTTCACCTAAAGGTGACAACATGCTACTGATAGAAGGTACCTGTGAAGATCCGGGGTAGAATAGGTCTTCAGCATGCCCTAAAAGGCAACTATGCTTGCCGTAAGAGGGGACTAACAGGATCGGGTGGTCAGGCTCGATGACTTGGTTAATGCATGTCATCGATCCAAATTGCGTAGATTGATGCTCATGAAGTCAATCACTGGATTGTCTGGTCCAGACTTGATTATTTACAGACTGCCATCACATAACTGGAATATTGCTGAATGCAGAGTTAACAACAAACAAACAAACTGATAGAAGGCTTGATAATCTCCCTTGACATCCTTCACTTAAAGGAGACAACACACTACTGATAGAAGGATTGATGATCTCTCTTGACATCCTTGACCTACAGGTGACAACACACTACTGATAGAAGGCCTTGATTGATGACCTCCCTTTACATCCTTGACTTCAAGGGGTGATTACATGTACTGGATTAATGCAATGCATTGTATGCTAATCTTCCCATGAAAGCCATATCAAAGCTACAACGCATTCAGAACTCTGCGGCTAGAATGCATCTCTAAAGTTCAAAGATCCAATCACATCAGTCCTGTCCTCAAAGCACTCCACTGGCTTCCAGTCTCCTTTCGTATACACTATAAGATATGGATCATCACTCACGACTGCCTCAACAATAGCGACTATCCAGACTATCTCAAAGATCTTATATCTCTGTACACTCCAGAGCGTGCTCTCCGATCCTCTGGTGGAACTCTACTGTATCAGCCTCTGTCTACTTCTGCTATGTCTGACCAGGCCTTCTCCTTTTGCAGTCCACAGTTATGGAACGCTTTGCCTTTGAATCTGAGAGACTCTGCTTCTAAGGAAACATTTAAGTCTCTCCTCAAAACCCACTTCTTCACCTCAGCTTTTCAATAGATCTCCTTATTGTTGGCATATGTACATAGATATTACTTTTTAACCTTGTCACAGCGCCAGTGAGCAACTGTCGATGGATATTAGGCGCTTTACAAATCAATTATTATTATTATTATTACTGATAGAAGACCTGCATGATCTGTTTGTCCCCCCCCCCCCCCCCCCCCCCCAATGTCTGGTGTTCTGCCCTACACAGATCTCTATAAGTCCCACCCTCACCTGTTTCCTATGTTCCGCCCTCAGCTTCTCGAGCTCCTCGGTGAGTTCTTCCACCTCATGCAGAGCCTTCATCAGCTGTGGGTTGTTGGCCACCTTCGACAGCAGGATGCTGCTTTCCCTCTTCATGGCGGCGTTGTTGGCGTAAAGCTGACACACAATAATAGGTCAGCAACACGAAAGGCAGTGCATGATTTCTAGGCTACCTACTCTTTACAAAGCTCACAAGTGTTTCATTCAAAAAGGATACAATTATAGTTACTAATTGTTACTCGACACGTTTAGAATTTGGAGTATGTCCTCACCTCTGTTGCAAACGTTTCAGCCGAGTTCTGACACAAGATGGCTGCCTCGTACTCTTTTCTCAGGGACTCATATTCCTGAAATGCCTGCTCAGAAGCTGTGGACAAACAGAAGGTACATCTTTCAACTTGCTGGAACATACTTATGAAATATTCACTACAGAGTATACAAAATACCTTGCATGCAATTGATTCATTTTCACTACTCAAACAAAATCCTCCAGAGTTGTTTCCCTGTGTGGACTGATAACCTTCACCTTCATAATCTCCATGTCTCCAAGTTATTCATTCATCATCCCATGACCTTCACCTATAGTTGTTTTACTAAGCTGTTATTCAAATAGCAGTATTAACATTAAATACTGACTTTTAGATAGAGTTTTTAGCAAATCTTATTAAAATTAGATCTTAGTTCTTGCTACCACCAGGGGCGGTCGGGTAGCCTAGTGGTTAAAGCGTTCGCTAGTCATGCCGAAGACCCGGGTTCGATTCCTGACATGGGTACAATGTGTGAAGCCCATTTCTGGTGTACCCCGCTGTGATATTGCTGGAATATTGCTAAAAGCGGCGTAAAACCATACTCACTCACACACTTTTGCTACCACCAAACAAAGATCTGAGAACATCTCATTATGAGTCCCATTGGAACAACCTTTCATCTGACAAATCAAAGCGATTTTTTATCAGATCAAGAAAGTAACAGTTTGTATATGTTTTCTAACCATGCAACCTGGAAATGGTTAACACAGGGAATTCTGAAAGACATTTACAGGCTCTACGACAGATTCTGTAAAAATCATGATCTATCTCACTTCAATGGCATAAACATTTCAAATAAGAGACTTTCCATTGCCCATGGGAAGAACTGCCATACAATTAAACATGCCAGAATTTTCTTTAGCACGATATCGATATTTTTCAAAACGTAATCTAGAATGGAAGTCATCAGTTTGAGAATTGTGTCGTAAAGCTCGAGAAAACTGCTTACAGACCAATGTCAACATTTTGTAAGTCATTTCATTGGTTGGTCATAGTTCGCCAAAGGTCGTTCTGATGTGACCCGTAATGAGATACCATCAGATCCTTGTTTAGTGCTAGCGAGAACAAAGATCTGATTTTAATGAGCTTGAGCTTTCAGCTTGAAGAAACCACCAAGGCTGTTTTCCTTGTGTGGTCCGATAACCTTCGGCTTTTACAGTCACCATCACTGACCTTGTGTGAGTTGTTTGAATGCATCTTTGTGCTGGGCCAGTGCTTCCTTCGTCTGCTTCAGTTCCACCCTCACATTATCGTACTGGCAGAAATATAACAGTAGTGTCAACAGCAAAGTCATTTGAACGTCAAGACTCAACACAAAAACACAACCATTAAACTTAAATTAAGTTACACAATCTGGTGTCCATCTGGTGGTATCCTTCAGCACTGTAATAACACATTGTGTGAAATGGAGACATTTATGACCAACCATGTGATAAGGGACTTTTTGGGTGAAAAATCACATTTTGACTTTTCATTATATTCTAAAACTATAGTATCTTTGGAACACAAAAATACAATTCACAAGCTACATATCATATCATTACAGAGATACACGACATCAATCATTTGGACTCATTTACGACTTTTGACTGTTTATGTAGAAATTGCAGTTTTCAGAATTGAAAGTAGACATGTATGCTGAAAGGTTTTGAAAAGCTATTACATTAAGAACTGATGAGAGAGAAATAAGATATTTTTGCACTGTCCGCACACTAGGGATCTCCACTGAAGTAAGTTGATGCCAAACATCTTTATGACGTCATAGCACAATTGTATCCTTGCTCCCATAAGGCCCCTTTGCTCATGGTGGGTCACATTTACTGTCTTTCTATGCCCCACCTCGCCTTGTGTCTCCCTGACCCACCTCCTCTTGTGTGTCCCTGACCTACTCCTCTTTTGTCTCCCTGACCCACCTCCTCTTTTGTCTCCCTGACCCACCTCGCCTTGTGTCTCCCTGACCCACCTCCTCTTGTGTCTCCCTGACCCATCTCCTCTTGTGTCTCCCCGACCCACCTCCTCTTGTGTCTCCCTGACCCACCTCCTCTTGTGTCTCCCTGACCCACCTTTTCTTGTGTCTCCCTGACCCACCTCCTCTTGTGTCTCCCTGACCCACCTCCTCTTGTCTCCCTGACCCACCTCCTCTTGTGTCTCCCTGACCCACCTCCCCTTGTGTCTCCCTGACCCACCTCCTCTTGTCTCCCTGACCCACCTCCTCTTGTCTCCCTGACCCACCTCCTCTTGTCTCCCTGACCCACCTCCTCTTGTCTCCCTGACCCACCTCCTCTTGTGTCTCCCTTACCCACCTCCTCTTGTGTCTCCCTGACCCACCTCCTCTTGTCTCCCCCTGACCCACCTCCCCTTGTGTCTCCCTAACCCATCTCCTCTTGTGTCTCCCTGACCCACCTCCCCTTGTGTCTCCCTGACCCACCTCCTCTTGTCTCCCCCTGACCAAACTCCTCTTGTGTCTCCCTGACCCACCTCCTCTTGTGTCTCCCTGACCCACCTCCTCTTGTCTCCCCCTGACCAAACTCCTCTTGTGTCTCCCTGACCCACCTCCCCTTGTGTCTCCCTGACCCACCTCCTCTTGTCTCCCCCTGACCCACCTCCCCTTGTGTCTCCCTAACCCACCTCCTCTTGTCTCCCCCTGACCCACCTCCCCTTGTGTCTCCCTGACCCACCTCCCCTTGTGTCTCCCTGACCCACCTCCTCTTGTGTCTCCCTGACCCACCTCCTCTTGTGTCTCTCTGACCCACCTCCTCTTGTGTCTCCCTGACCCACCTCCTCTTGTCTCCCCCTGACCCACCTCCCCTTGTGTCTCCCTGACCCAGCTCCCCTTGTGTCTCCCTGACCCACCTCCTCTTGTGTCTCCCTGACCCACCTCCTCTTGTGTCTCTCTGACCCACCTCCTCTTGTGTCTCCCTGACCCACCTCCTCTTGTGTCTCCCTGACCCACCTCCTCTTGTCTCCCCCTGACCCACCTCCTCTTGTCTCCCCCTGACCCCCCACCTTATCTTGTGTCTCTTGTGTCTCCCTGACCCACCTCCTCTTGTCTCCCCCTGACCCACCTCCTCTTGTGTCTCCCTGACCCACCTCCTCTTGTGTCTCTCTGACCCACCTTATCTTGTGTCTCTTGTGTCTCCCTGACCCACCTCCTCTTGTGTCTCCCTGACCCGCCTTATCTTGTTTCTCTTGTGTGTCCCTGACCCACCTCCTCTTGTCTCCCCCTGACCCACCTCCTCTTGTCTCCCTGACCCACCTCCCCTTGTGTCTCCCTGACCCACCTCCTCTTGTGTCTCCCTGACCCACCTCCTCTTGTGTCTCCCTGACCCACCTTATCTTGTGTCTCCCTGACATACCTCCTCTTGTGTCTCCCTGACCCACCTCCCCTTGTGTCTCCCTGACCCACCTTTTCTTGTGTCTCCCTGACCCACCTCCTCTTGTGTCTCCCTGACCCACCTCCTCTTGTGTCTCCCTGACCAATCTCCTCTTGTGTCTCCCTGACCCACCTCCTCTTGTCTCCCCCTGACCCACCTCCTCTTGTCTCCCCCTGACCCACCTCCTCTTGTGTCTCCCTGACCCACCTTATCTTGTGTCTCCCTGACCCACCTTATCTTGTGTCTCTCTGACCCACCTTATCTTGTGTCTCTCTGACCCACCTTCTCTTGTGTCTCTCTGACCCACCTTATCTTGTGTCTCCCTGACCCACCTCCTCTTGTCTCCCCCTGACCCACCTCCTCTTGTGTCTCTCTGACCCACCTTATCTTGTGTGTTCTTGTGACTCTCCCTCTCCGTGTGCAGGTCTTCCCATGTCTGCTTGAACTGTGCCGACAACTGACACCGCTCTTCCTGGAGCTCTGCAACAACCACAACATGATTCAACTACATCATCATTTCAATATGACAGCAGTTGCTCTCCAGAATATCTAGCTTTCAACAAAGTATTTGTTTGTTGTTTAACGCCGCACTCAGCAATATTCCAGCTATAGGACGGCAGTCTGCACAAAATCAACTCTGGACCAGACAATCCAGTGACATCATGGGCATCAATCATTGTTACTGAGATACAATGACATGAATCAGTGAGTTTGACCACCCGATCCCATTAGTCGCCTCGTATGACAAGCTTGGGTTGCTGAAGACCAGTTCTAACCCGGATCTTCACAGGGTTTTAACAAGTACAGTAATAGGAAATACAAGCATGCACTAATCATATGTCCTGTCCAAACAGCTTGGTCATGAAAGCATTTTCTGTTAACACGAAATAACACAAATTACAAGCAATTGTACCAAAACATTACACTGATATAAAAGATGTTGAAATCAATGTGTTTTTGTGTGTGTGTGTGTTTTTTGTTTTTTGTGTGTATGTGTGTGTGCATGGGTGTGTGTGTGTAGTTGTAAGTGTGTGTGTGCTAGCATGCATGCGTGTGTGTAGTTGTAAGTGTGTGTGTGCTAGCACGCATGCGTGTCTGTAGTTGTCTGTGTGTGTGTGCTAGCATGCATGTGTGTGTGTGTAGTTGTGTGTGTGTGCTAACATGCGTGCGTGCGTGTGTGGAGTTGTGTGCGTGTGCTAGTATGCGTGCGTGTGTGTAGTTGTAAGTGTGTGTGCGTGTGCTAGCATGCATGCGTGTGTGCATCGGGGTAATCTGATCCTATCTACTCATCTGTAATCCAATTTACACACCTGTAATCTTGTCATTGAGGCTGTTGAGGTGTTCCTCTGCGAGGCTGTCCTTGTTGAGGTCAAGGTCACTGACCTCCAGCTCCCCATCTACAATGTCCTTATCGACCCTGTCCAGAATCGCCTGGCTCATCCGCTTCAGATTGCGATTCTGCTTTGTCACCTGGCAACACAACATGTCAGGTTTTACCCCTCCGTCTCAATTTCAACATCCTGTAGTCACTATAATGTATTTAAGTAAAAAAAGACCCTATTTTCTTGCCTATAGTGCACATTGTTTTCAAACAATATACAGCTGTGTAGGGGTGTGTTTGTTTGTTTTGTTTGTTGTTTAAAGCCGCACTCAGCAATATTCCAGCTTTATGAAGGTGGTCCGTAAATAGTCTGGACCAGACAATCCAATGATTGATATCATGAGCATTGATGACATGCATCAGCTAATTCAGTGAGCCTGACCACCCGATCCCGTTAGTCGCCTCTTACGACATGCACAGTCAACCTTTTACGGCAAGCATGGGTTGCTGAAGACCTATTCTTACCCGGATCTTCACGGGTTGTGTAGGGGTGTGTGCTCATAATTCACGCAAACAATGAGTTTAGATTTACTTATTTTCCCCAATGCAAAGACCTTACTGTGAGCATTACATTATAGTTACCATATTCAACGTAATAAGCGCCCCGCTCTAATGAGCGCCCACAGCAATATTTGCTGATATACTGGCAAGTGAACATTCCCAATTAGCACCCCTTCTGATTGATCAATGTTCACAAGAATTATTTCTTCGCGTATAATACACACTCATGTGTTATATGCACCCTTAATTATGGACAATTACGTTTTGAAAAAACATATCTGTCGTACATAAACATTTCAGTCTGTCAGCATAAACCACGAAATTCATCTATTTCTTTACTTTATCTTTACTCTATTTCTAATTTTTAGATTGCCCGGGGCACTTATTACGTCGAATACAGTAAGTTATATCATGCATGTTAGCTCAGTGAAGGAGGAGTCAAGATGGGAACAAGTGACCCTTGGGTGAGAGTGAGTGAGTGAGTTGGGTTTAACGCTAATAATGATCAGCCTACCTTTGTGGCATAATGATCAGCCTTTCTTTGTGGCATAATGATCAGACTACCTTTGTGGCATAATGATCAGACTACCTTTGTTGCATAATGATCGGACAACCTTTGCGACATAATGATTGGCTTACCTTTGTTGCATAATGATCGGACTACCTTTGTGGCATAATGATTGGCCTACCTTTGTTGCATAATGATCGGACAACCTTTGCGACATAATGATCGGCTTACCTTTGTGGCATAATGATCGGACTACCTTTGTTGCATAATGATCGGCCTACCTTTGTGGCATAATGATCAGACTACCTTTGTGGCATAATGATTGGCCTACCTTTGTGGCATAATGATCGGACTACCTTTGTGGCATAATGATCGGACTACCTTTGTAGCATAATGCTCAGCCTTTCTTTGTGGCATAATGATCGGACAACCTTTGCGGCATAATGATCGGCTTACCTTTGTTGCATAATGATCGGCCTACCTTTGTGGCATAATGATTAGACTACCTTTGTTGCATAATGATCGGCTTACCTTTGTGGCATAAAGATTGGCCTACCTTTGTGGCATAATCCTTTGCTTACTTTTGCAGCATTATTCTCAGTCTACCTTTGTTGCATTCTAAATGCTCTGCTTACCTTTGTGGCATAATGCTTGGCCTACCTTTGTGGCATAATTCTCGGCCTACCTTTGTGGCATAATGCTTGGCCTACCTTTGTGGCATAATGCTTGGCCTACCTTTGTGGCATAATGATTGGCCTACCTTTGTAGCATAATGCTCAGCCTACCTTTGTAGCATAATGCTCGGCCTACCTTTGTGGCATAATGATTGGCTTACCTTTGTTGCATAATGATTGGCCTACCGTTGTTGCATAATGATTGGCCTACCTTTGTTGCAAAATGATCGGCCTACCTTTGTGGCATAATGATCAGCCTACCTTTGTTGCATAATGATCGGCTTACCTTTGTGGCATAATGCTCGGCCTACCTTTGTGGCATAATCCTTTGCTTACTTTTGCAGCATTATTCTCAGTCTACCTTTGTTGCATTCTAAATGCTCTGCCTACCTTTGTGGCATAATTCTCGGCCTATCTTTGTGGCATAATGCTTTGCTTACTTTTGCAGCATTATTCTCAGTCTACCTTTATTGCATTCTAAATACTCTGCTTACCTTTGTGGCATAATGCTTGGCCTACCTTTGTTGCATAATGCTCAGCCTACCTTTTTGACACAATGCTCAGCCTACCTTTGTGGCATAATGCTCGGCCTACCTTTGTTGCATAATGCTCGGCCTACCTTTGTTGCATAATGCTCGGCCTACCTTTGTTGCATAATGCTCGGCCTACCTTTGTGGCATAATGCTTGGCCTTAAAGCGGCATTCCAGCTCCAGCTCGTACTTCTGCTTGATGACCTCGTACTCCTGGCATAATGATCGGACTACCTTTGTAGCATAATGCTCAGCCTACCTTTGTCGTACAATGATCGGCCTACCTTTGTTGCATAATGCTCAGCCTACCTTTGTTGCATAATGATTAGACTACCTTTGTCGCATAATGCTCAGCCTACCTTTGTGGCATAATGCTCTGCCTACCTTTGTGGCATAATGATCGGCCTACCTTTGTTGCATAATGCTCTGCCTACCTTTGTGGCATAATGATCGGCCTACCTTTGTGGCATAATGCTCTGCCTACCTTTGTGGCATAATGATCGGCCTACCTTTGTTGCATAATGATCGGCCTACCTTTGTTGCATAATGATCGGCCTACCTTTGTGGCATAATGCTCTGCCTACCTTTGTGGCATAATGCTCTGCCTACCTTTGTGGCATAATGCTCTGCCTACCTTTGTGGCATAATGATCGGCCTACCTTTGTTGCATAATGCTCTGCCTACCTTTGTGGCATAATGCTCAGCCTACCTTTGTGGCATAATGCTCAGCCTACCTTTGTGGCATAATGCTCAGCCTACCTTTGTGGCATAATGATCGGCCTACCTTTGTTGCATAATGATCGGCCTTCCTTTGTGGCATAATCCTTTGCTTACTTTTGCAGCATTATTCTCAGTCTACCTTTATTGCATTCTAAATGCTCTGCTTACCTTTGTGGCATAATGCTTGGCCTACCTTTGTGGCATAATGATCGGCCTACCTTTGTTGCATAATGCTCGGCCTATCTTTGTGGCATAATGCTTTGCTTACTTTTGCAGCATTATTCTCAGTCTACCTTTATTGCATTCTAAATACTCTGCTTACCTTTGTGGCATAATGCTCGGCCTACCTTTGTGGCATAATGCTTGGCCTTAAAGCGGCATTCCAGCTCCAGCTCGTACTTCTGCTTGATGACCTCGTACTCCTGGCATAATGATCGGACTACCTTTGTAGCATAATGCTCAGCCTACCTTTGTCGTACAATGATCGGCCTACCTTTGTGGCATAATGCTCAGCCTACCTTTGTTGCATAATCCTCGGCCTACCTTTGTGGCATAATGCTCGGCCTACCTTTGTGGCATAATGCTCAGCCTACCTTTGTGGCATAATGCTCGGCCTACCTTTGTGGCATAATGCTCGGCCTCAAAGCGGCATTCCAGCTCCAGCTCGTACTTCTGCTTGATGACCTCGTACTCCTGGCATAATGATCGGACTACCTTTGTTGCATAATGCTCGGCCTACCTTTGTTGCATAATGCTCGGCCTACCTTTGTGGCATAATGCTCGGCCTCAAAGCGGCATTCCAGCTCCAGCTCGTACTTCTGCTTGATGACCTCGTACTCCTGGTAGGCTGGCTGCCATACTGTGGAGATAAATACTCTACTGCATTTCCAAGTTATCGTAGAAGAAATTCACACATGACAATAGTAACTCCTAAAATATGCCTTCAGTACAATGGGAAATAAAATGAAGGTTGCCAATAACTATTTCTAGTTTAGAATCAGTACAATTCAAAATATTATATTTATATATCCAAAAATGCATCAAGGCCAATTCTTCCAAATGAATTCTTCACAGTATCAATTGCAGTCATTTTATTAAACCTTAATTACAAATGACATAATTATGTATAATTATATTGACATGTTACTGTAGCTAACCTGGTCATATTACTTATACATGTGAGTAAGTGAGTGAGTGGGTTGGGTTTAATGCCACTTTTAGCAATATTCCAGCAATATCACGGCGGGGGACACCAGAAGTGGGCTTCACACATTGTACCCATGTCGGGAATCGAACCCAGGTCTTCAGCGTGACGAGCGAACGCTTTAACCACTAGGCTACCCGACCGCCCCTTATACATGTAAAACAAACATTACCACATTAAGTCGTCTCAGCATTATCATGACAGGTACTTGTGATTCGCAAACTCTATTGTACATAATTACAGTACAGACTCTGGAGCCAGAAGCATTCTGGTCAAAGCATCCAGCTTATAATACCATATCTGTACACTTTTTGATACCCATTTTTGGCATCACCTGAAGAGCACCCTGGATTTTCTTACATATCAATACAACAATGATTTTATGCCAGTGTATAGTATTATTAGCCAACTGGTTACAGAAGATGAGAAATTATGACCAAAAAACGGGCCTTCCCAGCTGAAATGGCGATGGAATCCCCATGGTATACCATGATAAGAAATGAAAGTGACCATGGTTTAGCATGGTTTAACATGGTATCCCATGGTAAAACTATGGTATTCCATGGTAAACCTTGGTGACAATGGTATATCATGGTGTGCATTTCAGCTGGCTTGGCATAAGCTCAGATGGGTTTGACAACACAAACTTGACAACTTAGTTAGATGGCATTTGCAACAAATGAAATTTATTTTTAGTAATTAACAGTATTCCAGTTATATCACGGCATGTCAGCTTAATGTGGGAGGAAAGCTTGAAGTGATGCAGGTCTCAGAAGTTTACCACTTCAGTGAAACCCACGAGCACGGGTATGGTGCTGACAAACCTAGAAACATAATCAGGGCAAACTGTGATTCGAACCCACAATCATAGGTTTCTGGCATGCCCAAGGGATGCAACTCTGTCGGCGAATCATGGCGCCTTAGACGACTGGGCCACTCATGCCCCCGATATGGTCAATAGGAGGTGACATAGATGGGATGCAATAGCCACTGATGGCGCTACTGTCAAGCCCAGAAATTCCAGCCTAGTTCAGCTGGGGTGGCAACTGTACTTTTACAATCAGTTAACTCCCTTTGCCTCGGGAAGATGCTATATACCCTGGCAACCACCCAAGTTTTTCACTGACGACTAATCAAAATGTACCACCCACCTGGTTCCCAGGCAACCATCCACCTGTTACCCCGACAGCATCCCTGTACTTACATTCCTTGACACTGTCGAGCTGCACATCTTTGTCCTTAACCTGCTGGACCAGAGCTTGGAACTGAAACATAGTAACTCGCTATAAGCAACAAAGTAACACAATGTAAGCAACATAGTAACACTCTTGCCATCATATCACCGTATATCACTGTCTAAAGCAGCACCACGTATGAGGCGATCCGCCTGTACAAGCCTTCAAAATCTATGCTAACTTATATATCCTGTCTTTAAGGCGAATCAGAATGAAGCACGTCACCAGTCATACACAATCCCTACACTCTTCCAAAGAACAAATTACATCGTATCCCTTCAGCAAAATGAACAGATCATAACAATTAAACTTGGTCAATACAAATTTAAAATTTGAGAAAATACATGATGATTTTGCCGATTAAATTGTATACCTGTTCTGCTATGCATTGTTTTATATGCAGAGGTGAGGTGAGGTGAAATGGGGTTTAACGTCGCGTCCAAGATTGTTGCACTTATATAGTGACGTGCATGCACGTGTATATGTGTGTGGGGCTGCCGGTACTAGTCCAGACTGATGCCGATTTATAGTGCTAGCTCACTGAGATACCATATGCCGCAGTTTAACATGAATACCCCACTCAGACACAGTATACTGACTCCGAGCCGACCAGTCCTTGTTTTAGCCCCTCAATGCCGAGCGCCGGGCAGGGTAACAACAAGTACCATCTTTTAACGTCTTTTGGTATGACGCGGCTGGGGATCGAACCCCGGACCTTCCGCTCTCCGGGCGGACGCTCAACCATAAGACCACGGAGGCGGTCCTATATGCAGAGATTATGATAACCATGTGTATTGTCTCGTAATCTAAGCCGGAAGCAGCCATCAGCTGTACACATGTTTTCTCGGAATCTACAAGTGATACGGTTAAAAAGTAACCAATAATAAAAAAATGACAAATGATCGGAAGAATTGTATCTGAAACTATTATTTTATCTCAAATAATTTATTCCAATATCATGCTATTTTATTTGCAGCTTTACTATATATATTTGAAATAATTTAATAACCATAAGCGTAGCACAATGGTACAGCTGAGTGCAATTGCTTGGTATTTTTTCACATGGAACAATTTGACCAATCACCGGCGATACTCCCCCACTCACGATGGTGAAAACTTTATGTTGACATATAATAGTCAAACTACAACAAATATGACTTTCAGCGAGTAAATGTATGACATTTATGACATATAAACATCCACTCTCTATCCACTAAAGTACTCAGTTTTGAAATTTGATGTAGCCCCACTGTAGATAAGATACCTCTTATTTATATTTGAAACCTCATGCTAAAGCGCTGAGTTACAAATTAACATAGGAGTTATCTAGTCTACACATGGACTTCCAAACACAGTTAATTTATTTCCTAATAGACAGATGGCATGCTGTTTCCTAAAAACAATATATCCACAAATTTATCCTTTCAGGGTCATGTTGAAATTTTGAACGTCATTTGCAGATAGAAACCACAGGGTTTTTGTTGACTTCAAACCGACCTTACATATCTTTTCAGATTGTAGAAAAATGTTTACAAATAACGGAAATGCCCTTATCTTGATGCAGGGAGGCATCGTATCTGGAATAGGTCTGAAGCAACCCATGCTTGCTGTAAAAAGGTGACCATGCTTGTAAGAGGCGACTAACGGGATCAGATGATCAGACTCGACGACTTGGTTGATGCATGTCATCATATCCCAATTGTGTGGATCGATGCTCATGATGTCAATCACTGGATTGTCTGGTCCAAACTCGATTATTTTCAGACCGCCTTCATATAGCTGGAATATTGCTGAGTGCGGTGTCAAACAACAAACAAACAAACAAGGATGTTTGTTCAAAGTTATGTGATCTGTTTTCGACTTGTGGGCACACCAATAGAATGCATGTCTTCCTTGTCCTGATAGATAGCTTTCAAGTCATCACAAGGAAGTCCTGAACAAAGGACAAAGAAACATACACACAGCTTATTTACAAAGTGCTATGTTTTTTTAGTTTGGGGGGGGGGGGGGGGGGGGGGAGAATGAGCTTTAAGGGTGAAATTGGCTTCATAGACTTTCAACTCATGAAGTTTCAAGATCTGTTTCACTTTCCTAACTATTAGATGCGGAGATGATATGCCCAAATTACCTTGTTCTAGGTTAAACAAAATCAGTATCACTATGAACAATTAATCAACTGGCACAGTGTCCTGCTTTTTACTTGACCTTGTGATTTTCACTAGTTTCGGGATAGCATAGTTATCACGCACTGCAGTCTGAAATATCAGTTAAATGGTAATCGCTACATATTTATTAGGGCTGGGATGAGTCCCAATTTACTACTCAGGTACCCACTCCCCTATTACCCAACCCTAATCGGGTACCCACTGTAGGTCACAGGAGATGTCTGATTGGGAACTTTTTTAGCATAGCCCTTGCAAAACATATTTAGATACATGTATTAAACAATCTGGTCATGCATACACTGAAGTTGACTTAGTTATATCATTATTCCACCACATAAAAGTCAGAAGGAATGGGTGCACAGTCAGAAAGAAATCCGAACATTAATGACTTGTAGTGTAACCATAGAGTTCCAGATAATTTTTGTCAATAAACAATATATCACATGATTAACCACGGGTCCGGGTAGTCCTGTGGGTACCTGGGTCCTACTCAGGACCCACCCGACCTGGGTACCCGAGTTACCCGTCCCAGCCCTAGTATTTACACATACATTATCTGTCACAATTTCTTTTTCCTTCGGCATCTTCTTTCAATTAAGTTTACATTAATCTTCATTGCTTGCTATATCTGTCTATAAAGGACAACAGCTTTACGACATAATCCTTCATTGATCAATTGTACATAACAATAATATAAAAGAATCTATATCGGAACTATTTTCAGTTTTGGTTTCATTGTGTGTCTTTAAAAAATATATTCACATACAGTAAACTTCGGTTATAACGAACTCAAAGGGACTACTAATTTTAGTTCGTTATAACCGTAATTCGTTATAAGCATATATACAGCATAACTACAGCATACAGTCGGGACTAAAAAGTTAGTTCGTTATATCCGTTAGTTCGTTATAAGCGTGTTCGTTATAACCGTAGTTTACTGTATATTTAAAAATATATAATTATTTGATTTGATGTTTACACAATATACATCTTTTCAATTGGACGAGAGGTCAGTCACATGACCGCGAAATTGTCGTTCATAGGTGTATGAACAACACAATGTGACGTTCATACGTTTTTCAAGAGACTGTGTTCTTGAAATGATGTAAAAACTGACGGACTACTTCCACATTCCTGGGGAAACCCCTGGGAATTCCCTAGCACAAATACACACAGAAGCATTCTTTCTGAACATTTAGACCCTTTAAACTTGAACATGAATATCCTTGCTATGACCCATCCCAATGAACAAAGTGAAGAGATGCACATCCAAACTATCGTAGTACCGACTCGATCCGTGTCTAGGCTGGTAGTGACAGTCTTCAGCAATCTATGAATTCACCTTTGCATCTATTTGACACATCTTTATAATCATCTTTCAATAATTGGCCAGTTGAACAATGACTAAAACGTGTAACCTCCAACAGGTTCATTAAAACAACTTCCGAAATCTCTCCCATCACGTTTATCATGTCGGCCATTTTGATGTCTTGTCCTTGATGAAAATGCATTACGATGCGCGGTCATAGTGACTTACTAACTGAGGTAGTTCTTAACAGACCTTTCTTATCTAATGAGGATATTATTTGAGTACATTCGTTTACAGTAACTGTAACTACAAAATTTGTCCCTGTTGAACATGTTGAACATAGATAAGCTCATATCACCTCTCGTTATGAGGAACTATTTTATTCCACAATACAGCTGGTTGTGGTACATGGCTGTCGGTGTAAACATGAAGTCACACATGCTAAATATGTCTATGTCCTTTGTGGTAAAAATAATAATATAAAAAATTATAAGAATTGACTTTCACTCTGTGTGAGTTCATTTGAGTCGGAACTAGGGCTGGGACGATTAACTCGGGTTCTCGGGTCGGGTGGGTACGGAGTAAGACCAGAGTACCCACAGGACTACCCGGACCCAAGGTTAGTCACGTGATATATTGTTTATTGACAAAATATATCTAAAACTCTATGGTTACACTACAAGTCACTATTGTTCGCATTTCTTTCTGACTATGGACCCACTCCTTCTGACCTTTATAGGTTTGAATAAAGATAAAACTTCAGTCAACTTCAGTGTATGCATGACTAGATCGTTTTATACGTGTATCTAAATACATTTTACCAGGGCTACGGTCAAACTATTCCAAATCGGACTTTTTACACCCAAGTCTTGAGACATATAGCAGGTATCCGGGTAGGGTCGGGTAATAGCGTGGTGGGTACCCGGGTAGTAAATTTGGACTCGTCCCATCCCTAGAACCTTCATAGAGTGAGGGCCAAACATTGTATGAACATTGTCGCAGGTTCCGCCGTTCATACAGTTTATCCCTCACTTTATGAAGGTTCATACTCCAATGAAGTCACACAAAGTCAATTCTTAAATAAGCATACAGTAATTTCAGTTGAGGGAGTTCCCTGAAATAATCGAGGAAATCATTGTGAAACCCACAGTTTGTTTAACCTCCGTCACCTTAGACACATTATCAGAATTACCCTAACAGGGCCCCGTTCAACTAAGCAATCTTAGCGCTAAGATGATTGTTGTCATGTACTACCCTGATGGTAGTCTTTACTTATACAAGAACGCAACACAAGCATAATGATTAGAACACTCATTCACGTCTGGTATATCGGACCGCCACTGCACAACTGCCCACACTCGTGCGTTAACCATGACGTCATATCTATGACATCATCATATATTGGCGGGAATATAGCGCATACAAGATAGCGCCAATGACTAGCATGTAAATATACCACAATTGTAACTCCCATACTTTAACACAGGCTTACGACTGTCATAGCCCTTAGATCACTTTGTGGAACGGGCCCTTGGACCGTATTAGTTTATCATTAGATTGTCATCAATTCCTGGAAAGGGCATAGGCATTTAAATTTTGATCCTTTACAAAAAAACAAACTGTAATAATGGAATTAGTCACTTTGTCACAACCAGGATGAAGGTGGGCAGTGTGAGATAACTTTATATGTGGTTATTCACACTTTCCTCAGAAACAATGGTTATATCCATGGTTAAAAACATTTAGATTGGTAGTTGATCAATGTAGCGTGCAATTAAATAAATTACCCAGAATAATAAGATTTATTTATACAATGTCATCAGCATGCTTGTCGATCATGTCATGCGTGAAAACTGTAGGAGACGTTAAATCCACCGCCTCAGTGCATCAATCCCCGTATTTTGGAGAGAGTGAGTGTTGTTGTTGGATCAGTAGACACTGACAATGTCTGAACATGGTTGTTGTCTTAGAATATTCATATCTCCATAAGTTTAATTGTTTTTTTAATATTATTTTAACCTTTTATCATGACACTGATTTCTGCAGTAGTCAATACACACAAACATGGCTTCAATGGAAGTCTTAGATAGTGACATCAGCGATGACTAAGGTCGGCCATCTTGTTATTGAACAAGTGCTTTATTGTGTAGCATCAGGAAGTACCGGTTTTTATAACAATGGGTGAGGTGAGGTGAAATGGGGTTTAACGTCACGTCCTGGATTATTTTAACAATTGGAGCAAAGCAGCCTTTTTAAAAGTTCTCTGACTAGGAAACCAATGCAGCGTGACGGAAGGTGTGGGTTGAGTAATATCTCACACACACACACACACACACACACACACACACACACACACACACACACTCACACACACTCACTCACTCACACACACACACACACACACACACACACACACACACACACACACACACACACACACACACACACACACACACACACACACACACACACACACACACACACACACACACACAAACACACACACAAACACACACACACTTTTAAAAACCAAATGTAGTACATGTATGTTGTAGGCAGTAAAATTATCTGAGAGAGGATTTCGATATTTTGGACCTCTCCCTTTTGAAAATGCTGGATCTGCCCCTGACAGGCTTGCGTCACAGTCACACTACTTTGTGGAATGGGCCTTGGTGCATAATGACTTAGGAGTTGCATCTCTGTATAATCGTGATAATCGGGCTGTGAGTGTATGCTGTGTCAAATCCCGATTATCACGATGTCAATAGCGGTAATCTGACCGTGGTTGCTGTAAATAACGGTGAGTTGTGCGATCTACCGATCACTTTGCATACGATTTCACCAAAATTATTGTAAACATTATAATAATTATTGAATGGAATATTGAATAATATTAATCAAATATATTGCAAACTCAAGTCCAGATAAACAGTGAATTTTTTAAATTTATTACCAGATATTATAATGATAGGATTAAATTGCGTTCTTCAGTTTGGATTTGTTGACTGGTATTTCCGGTGTTACGTGATCGCGGTGATCAGCTAGCTGATAATGTTTTCTTAGATGGGGGAAAACATCGTGTCATTGGAAAACTTGAGTTTACTAAAAATGTTAGTAAATTTTGGGAGCCATGCTTTACCGCGCTATAACCTAAGCGCTCAATAATGAGGGAACACTGTACGTAACAACTTGTGATGTGTGTGAAAAGTCGTAAGAAAATACGCTGTTTGAAGGGGGCGTGGCCTAAATGCAAATGTCCGATTGGGATTTTAAATTTTCCAGACCCCTGCTCACAGCCACAAAAAAAATCAACTTTGACTTCTTTTCTTACCACCATTAAGTTGTTTACATTGAAATGCACATATACCAAAAATACCACAATGCCAGATTGAGTTTAATCACTGCAAAAGGAAACATTTTCTCCAGGTTAGAATAGGTCTTCAGCAACCTTGTCTTAAGACGAGATTAATGGAATCAAGTGGTCAGGCTTGCTGACCTGGTTGATGCATGTCATCGTATCCCAATGGCGTAGATTGGTGCTCATGATGTCAATCATTGGATTGTCTGGTCCAGTCTTGATTATATACAGACCGCTATCAAATAACTGGAATAATGCTGAGTGGCTTTCGATAAAAAACAACAAACAAACCAGGGTGGCGATTCACAAAAACGCTACGACCTCCATGTCTCTACAACCTAGTTAAGGAAGTTGTAAGCTATAGTCTGGAAGGTAAGTTAAGCTACCGTCGTTTACTACAATATCTGAAAAACTATTGGACCTACTCCAGTCAAAGTTGGTATTAGATTATTAAACAGTCATACATGATTGGATATTACATTTAAAGACAATCGGTGCATGAATAAAAAATCTGTCTATTTAGCTATCACTATATTTCATCAACAACCAGACCTGTTCGTCACGGGTGGAACAAGCATTCATTGTAACAGCCATCTGCATAATGCTAAACCTGCGTCACAGGGCCATATGACACAGTTGAACCAATCATCTCAACTTGAAAGGGTGCACGCGAATCACGCACGCACGAATACGGTGTTATCGTTGGGTGTCTCAATGTGCGTGATTGAAAATTGGCCCATGGCCCTTAATAATGATTCAGTGCTGATAGAATTGCAACCTCATCTATGTTTGTAATAGACTCATCAGCTGAATACTGATTTTTTTACCCATTTAAAATACATTTCTTAGACAGAAAAGTTTCCCAATAAGACATAATATTAGTAATACTGGAATACATGACCAAATGACATATAAATATGGAATGTCAATACCAGAAAATAATCATTTTGCATTATCTGCGAAAACTGATTCCCTTGGGCGAAAATGGCAAAATAGTGGTGACCATTGTATGAATGGTGTACATGAACGGTGGTGTTTAATAATGAAAAAATCAAAGTTCAGATGAAAACTTCGAAGCATTGTATAGTTGATATCAATGGGTAAAAGAAAGTCTAATTTGTCCTCACTTCAACTACCTCAGAAATGAGGTGAGGGAAGGTCAAATGGGGTTTAACGTCGCGGCCAAGGTTTATAACCAAGTGGATGCATGAGTGTGGCTGCTTGTACTAGTCCGGACTGATGCCGATTTTATCGTGCTGGCCCACTGAGATACCATGCTGCAGTTTAACATCAACACACCACTCAGACACAGTACACTGACTCCGAGCCGACCAGTCCTTAAAAATTGTTTTAGCCCCTTAATGCCGAGCGCCAGACAGGGTAACAACAAGTACCATCTTTTAACGTCTTTTGGTATGATGCGTGCGGGGATCGAACCCTGGACCCTCCGCTCTCCGGGCTGCTTTACTACTAGACCACAGAAGCAGTCCTCAGAAATGAAAACAAAGCTTAGAAAAAATATCTTGGTCAGTAATTAAATATTTTGTGTCTTAAACTTTGAACACAAGAGGGACAATGACTCATTCTGCTCACCTTGGCTTCGTTTTCTTTTTGTTTTTTCAGAACTTCCTCATATTTGTCCACAACTGCAAAAAAAAGAGAAAACACAACTGAAACACAAGCATAGTTAGATTAAGGCAGTCCGCTGGTCACAGGGAATAACTCTTTCTGAGATCGGTAGTTTCCAGACAATCTAGACAAGTTAATCTAACTTTTCACTGAAAATAGAAGGAGGTCAGTGAGCATTCTGTTGAGCTAGACACAACTTAGGGCTGGAAGAGTCCAAATTTACGACCCGGGTACCCAACCCTTATTCCCCAACCCTACCCGGGTACTTGCTGTAGGTCCTAAGAGGTTGGTACAAAATGTCCGATAGGGAATTGTTTGACAAGAGTCCTTGCAAAGAGTATTTAGGTACACTATAAAACAATCTGGTCATGCATAACTGAAGTTGACTGAAGTTTTATCTTTATTCAAAAATATTTAAGTCAGGAATGTGTGAATAGTCAGAAAGAAATGTGAACAGTCGTGACCTGTAGTGTATTCACAGAGTTCTTGATAATTTTTGTCTTAAAACAATATATCACGTCAGGAAGAGAATTTATGGATGTCAACTCCTTTATTATGAGGAACACAACGTTTCGGAGTATATGCTTACTCCTTCATCAGGTGAATGAATGCTATGAGGCAGAGAATATATATTTATATGTAAGGACAACAAAACAGAAATAAGATAACAAAGGTGGAAACTTAACAAGGGATAATTGACATCAATTGACAGATAACTGACATCCATAAATTCTCTTCCTTATGTGTATCACTTCTAAATGCCTTTCAAAGATTAAATATATCGCGTGACTAAGCACGGGTCCGGGTAGTATGTGGGTATCCGGGTCCTGCTCAATACCCACCCAACCTGAGTACCCGGGTACCCGTCCCAGCCCTGGCACAATTTACTACCCGGATACCCCCCACCCTATTTCCCGACCCTACCCGGATACCCGCTGTAGGTCTCAAAAGGTAGGTACAAACTGTCCAATTGGGAAAAGTTTGACCGTAGCCCTGGCAAATTGTGTTTAGACACACGTATAAAATGATCTGGTGTATACAATGAAGTTGACTGAAGTTTTATCTTTATTCAAACATATAAAAGTCAGAAGGAATGGGCAAAGTAGTCAGAAAGAACTGCAAACATTAGTGACTTGTAGTTAAAACAGACAGTCCTAGATAATGTTTGACTTTAAACAACATATCTTGTGACTGACCACAGGTCTGGGTAGTCCTGTGGGTACCCGGGTCCTACTCAGGACCCATCCGACCCGAGTACCCGTCCCAGCCCTACTGTTCAGTGTGAATAACTGAAAACAATCTCAACGGAATCCATGGTGGCGGGTGCTACCTGTAGGGCAGGACATGACCTACCCTTTTCACAAAAACCTGGTGTCATCACTCTTTTTCAGTGATCCATTCCCATTTTTACAACTATTTTGCCTGTCACGCCCACTGGATATTCGAGACTGGTTATTCTTCGGTGTCAACATCATATATTTATAGAGGATAACACTAGTGAACATACTGAGGCCCTTTCAGATTGAAAGAAACATTTTATCACAGTTTATACAGATAAATTCTATTTCATGTAACCATAAGTTGTAATAATGTTGCACTGTAACAATAGTCCAAACTACAAGCTTAGGCATATCTTGTTTGCCTTGAACAGGGGTGATATGAAAATATTTGCTGGCTTAGGGAGTAGGGACAGACCAAGTGATATTTTTGGTGTGGTGTCTGGGATTTTATGGAAAAATAAAAATTGTCCCTGAAATTTCTTGTAAAAAAAAATGCTTCCGAAGTTTGAAAAAGTTGCCTGCCACAAAAATTACATTGTTCCAAGGTGTGTATCTTAAAAAAATTCAGGCTCATATTTTTACAGAAAAACATGTCTGGTTTTGCACCTGAAGATGAAAAAATATCTAATCTCAATACAAAATCCAAGCGGAGGCTATATTTGTAAATAAAATAAGCTGTAATGACAATGAGCCATAACTCTCTCCCACTGCCAACACTTAAAAGTGAAGACTTCTCATGCACCCTGTCACTCGAACAGATCACTAAACCGTGAGTCACATTTATACAGGGAAGTATATTGATTAGAACAAAATAAATAAATTTATTTATTTATTCACTGCATTTCATTATCTAGTAAAAGCCATTTTTTGTGTTTTTGTTTGCATAAACCAAAAAGATGAGGTTGAGCACACTAGCGGATGACTGGTTCCTGGTTAATAGAGTTGAAAAAGTACATATGTTTACACATCCAGAAACGCAAAAAATATATCAATGTCAATTCTCAACATACTGACTTACAATTACCTTCAGTTTGTTGTGTGTTGAGCTGAGTCAACATTGAACCAGTAAACATCAAATAATGTCTGTCACTATACAGTTGACACCTGATTGTAATCTTGGGACAGACATTTCCATTCACAGATTGTATGGGTGATCAGGTCACACAAAGGTATGACTTTGGGGATCTACCGGTACAAGGAAGTGGAATTTAAGATACTCCAACTGTACATACGGTATTCGTCGTAATAAGCGCCCACGGCGATATATGCTAATATATTGGCTAGTGAACAATCCCAATTAGCACCCCTTTCGATTTATCAATGTACACAAGACTTATTTATTTGTGTATAATACACACTCGTGTGTTATATGCACCCTTAATTATGGGCAATTAAATTCTGGAAAAATGTATCTGTCCTAATAAACAGTTCAGACTGTCAGCATAAACCACGAAATTTATCTTTCAACTCTGTTTTTTCCACCAAAGTAACATTCTAATAAGAGCCCCCTATTTCTAATTTCCTGGGCGCTTATTACGTTGAATACGGCACATTAAGTAGGGCAGTGGGGTGGAAGTATTGACTAACATTATTTGCAGGTGCTTACATGAGAAACTGAATAGAATATGAAGTACATATCAATGACAAACACCTCCTTAACCGAGTCAAGCGAGGATACAGAAGGGGCTTTGTGCTGTTTTTAACAGGATAACATGACTCCCAAAGACATATTGCTTTATGAAAGATTTGCATTCACTTGCATTCACTGGTACAAGTATGTAACGATGTGATCCCAGAGTAGATACCCCCTTTTCCAACAAGTTGTATCAACACTACCAGGTATTCAGCCGCAGGGTTTTACTGGATACCCGGGTACCCGGGTAGTCAATTTGGACTTGTCCCAGCCCTACTACATACAATTTCAATTTAATAAAACAATGTACTGCCATCAAAATTTGTCATTTAAATTTTGAGCAGCACATGTCTTTGCATCCTAACTTTCTGTATCACAGGGAAACACTGTCAGGAGCTATAGTGACTTTGTCAAGGGCTTTTCTTATCGCAATGTTTTATTGGTCAGATGGTATATTTCCAGCCAATCATGAACAGTATTGCATTGATCTGTTATGGTTTGTCCTGATTTTTGTTGATTTGATTTATTGACTTTTGCCATTGACTTATTACATTTGTTTGATCCACATCATTGACCTGTATAGATTTGGTGCCTAAATCACTGTATATATTATTATTTTTTGTTTGTTTGCTATTTATTTAATGTCACACTCAGCAATATTCCAGCTATGTGATTGGGGTCTTCAAATAATCAAGTCTGGACTAGTGACAGATATCATGAGCATCAATCCACCAAATTGGGACACACTGATATGCAGTCAAGCAAGTCACCATGCCTGACCTGGCAACTCAATCCATTTAGTCACCTTTTACGACCAACACAGGTTGCTGGGATTCTACCCGGATCTTCAAGGTGTTCTACATATTATTAAATGATAGCAGGAAAAATAGACGTGATATCCTCTTAATTTTATCCCTAGGTACAAAACGCCCATGTATTGAGCTTGAGGAACTATGAATGAACATTAAATGAGACATTTTTTATCATATCAATAAATAAGGAAGTGTATTAAGTGTTCAATTACGACGCAGTCAATTTACAATCAAAATTATGCGAGTGAGTCAGTGTTTAAAATTTACCCAAATTTCAGTCACACAGTCGGACTGGCAACATTGCAACGTTACCAGACCAGATAAAATGTTACCAGTCCAGAATTTTCTAGACTAAAAAACAAAAGGTGAGGTGAGGTGAAATGGGGTTTAACGTCGTGTCCAAGATTGTTGCACTTATATAGCAACATGTATGTGTGTGTGTGTGTGTGTGTGTGTGTGTGTTTGTGTGGCTGCTTGTAATAGCCCTGACTGATGCCGATTTATAGTGCTAGCTCACTGAGATACCATGCCGCAGTTTAACATGAATACCACACTCAGACACAGTATACTGACTCCGAGCCGACCAGTCCTTGTTTTAGCCCCTTAATGCCGAGCGCCAGACAGGGTAACAACAAGTACCATCTTTTAAAGTCTTTTGGTATGACGCTGCCGGGGATTGAACCCCGGACCTTCCGCTCTCTGGGCGGACGCTCAACCACAGGGCCATGGAGGCAGTCAACAAACAAAAGTAACAATGGGGTAAACACAAGAAGAGTACTGTTTAATGATAGTTCTCAGATAATAATGATAAACCAGTGGATTGTCAACTTAGTAACTTTTTCCCCCTACCATCGAGTGTGCAACTTTTCAAAACTGACTGCTGTCATCTCAGACTGTCGGGCAGGCAGGTATCTTCAACACTGAGTTTGTACAAGGGCTGGGGACCCGTGAAGATTCCGGGGTAGAATACGTCTTCAGCAACCCATGCTTGCCGTAAAAGGTGACTATGCTTGTCGGAAAAGGCGACTAACAGGATCGGGTGGTCAGGCTCGCTGACTTGGTTGATGTATGTCATCGATCCCAATTGCGTGGATGGAGTGATGCTCATAATATTAATCACTGGATTGTCTGGTCCAGGCTCGATTATTTACAGACCGCCGTCATATAGCTGGAATATTGCTGAGTGCGGCGTTAAACAACAAACCAACCAACCAACCAACCAACTAGGGCTGGGACTGGTAACTTTGGTACTGGGTTCGGGTGGGTACTGAGAAGGACCCGGGTACCAACAG